TTTTATACAAGACAGCGGGATTGCTGACAAGTATTAAGAAAGAACAAACCTTCATTTGTAACACATGTACTTTTTATTCACAGTATCATGTGACACCCATCACGTGTTTGTTGTGAAATGAATGACGTATCAACTATTATGTACATACAAGTGAATGCATCTTTATAAGGACCAAACGTGTTGTCACACCGGTCCCGTTAATTAGGGAGGCGATCGCCGGGCTAATTCCAAGGGCCGAAGTATCGGCCCCCCAAACCGCACCACGAAATCGTGGACAATTTAGAAGTGGTCCTTTTTGGCGCGCCAGCGGACGCCGGCTGTGGCCCAAAAAACAAGTCAGAGCCGAGAGTTGATAAACAAACAAAATTATATTCTCAATAATGGCAGACCGAAAACAATACACAAGTATGCACACTCCACAATAGTTGAGTACAATATGTCACCGATCAAACAACGTACTACACAGTACAATCAGCCACACTCGAAACAACGGACACAGACAACAATACACACTACAATGCAGTCGCATGCATTGAACAACCAAGACACTTAAAGACTAAAGAGATAGAAAACCTATTCAGTCCAAAGTTCTTGGAACAAAAGTCTGGATGATACTCTTCCGAGAATCACTCACTCAAAGTCCAGCGTTGTTGCCGTTCCGCTGCCCCTGAAGTTTCTCTTCCAGGAAACCTCGCCGAAGTTTCTCTTCCAGGAAACCTCGCGTCTTCAATCGGCCTCTCTCCAAGCTTCAAACTTCTTCGCCGGAAACACGTCGACTTCCCACACGCAGCTGTTGCCACGCGTCTTCGCTCGATAGCGGTAAACACACGCTCTTGCCTGTAGCTCGAGTCGTCACCCCTCAGGTGGAAATCATCTTCTTTTCCTGCTTTGTCTCTACGGACAAAACCTTCGCCGACTACACGGCGGGATACCCTACGCGCTCTGGCGCTAACTTCCGTCTTCTCCTGATCTCTCACCTCGGCTGCTCGGTTAAATACCTTCCGCGCCACATTCCAGAAAGTTCTCGTCATTTCGTCGGCGCGATACGCAGCGAAGGCTTGGGAGAGGCGCGAGACTGTACGAGGGCCGTCCCCGACCGATGACTCAACCCGGCAGAACACGCCCCTTTCCTTCTAGAACTTTCCAGTGCTTGCCCGGCCGCCGCTGTGGGGTGAGGAGGTTCATCGGCGAAGCCACGCTTCCGAGAGGAGAGGCTCGCGCGCCCGGGGAGCCTTTAGATGTTTGTTTTCTTTTCCTTTCTTTTTCGTTGACCTCGCGGCGTCACTCCGGCGGTTCGTCGCGAGAATTTGGCGGCGCGCCCATTTTTAGCGTTCGTTCTGTGACACGTGTGCTTTGCTGTTTTGTGCTGGTGGACCGAATAATAACGAGGGACATTTCCAGAGACTTCTTACATTGACTTTCGAACATTTACTTACCATTGTGATATGTGCGTATAAGTGTGTCTTTGCATATCTGTGCCCGAGTTTTCTATTTTCCATGCACTGCTTTGTATGTTTTGCTTCAACATACGTGTTCAAATTTCAATCAACGGCTAAGGAGTAGCCGGCGCCATAATGGTGCGCCAACATCTCCTTATATATCATATCAATAAAAAAAAAGGAACAACTTAAGCTTGACACGCATGTTACTTATGTTTCTGATGGTGCATGCAGTCACTTCAAAAACAAGTACCAGTTGTTCGAGTTATGTCAGAAAGATCATATATCAACAAAGTGGATTTTTTTCGGCCAAAGGACATGGCAAGAACTCTTGTGACGGCGTTGGTGGCCTACTAAAGCATCAGGCTACGCTCTACTACCTCAGAGCGGCAAGCTCAGCTGTGATTATGTCAGCATGCCAAATGGTGGCGCAAATGAGCGCGAAGCTCAAGAATGTCAAGCTGCTGTGTGCTAATGCAGACGAGCTAGAAACATTCCGTCAGTTTAAGAAGAGCCAGTGGAAATTGTTGCCACGTGTTCCAGGCATACGTTCTTGGCATGTTTGGCTAAGCACATCCGAGGGCACTGATCGTGGTCGTGTTTTGTTAGCGTCACGTACTGCTAAATGTGATCTGCAAAAGATGCAGCCATTTTGAGCGCATCTCTTGTTTCACGCAGTCACCACCAAAACACCAGTGAGGGTACTTCAAGCGCATATGCTTTTTCTAGCGAGACCCAACACTTGCGTTGGAACATTTTCATCTTTGAGTTTATCTGCAAATATAGACAGATCTTTTGCAACTGAGCTACAGTGTCGAAGATTTCCTCCACTAGAGCTGCGTTATCAGGAGCACAAATGCGCCTTCATGGGTACGTATTTGTCACAGTGCAAAACAGCCTTTCTTCACCAAATACGGTCACGTTTACTCGTGTTTGAAGCTTATTGCCACTTTTGCGTTCCGATTTCTAGATTTCTCAACTTATCAGCGCATTCTCGAAAAGCTGATTTGTACCACGAATATTGTCGCTAAAAACAAAATAATGCAACATGTTTTTTTATATTACTGTATGTTGGCCTTCCGTTGTCTATTTACGAGATTTTAAGAAAAATAGAAGATGGGGTTTTTTTTCTTATTCAAATTTCACTGGAGTACACTTTTGCCAATATGAGAACTTTGAGGCAATATATAAAAAATTACATTTGCCCTACGGCAACAATAATTTATGTACCTAATGAACACACTATATCCTTAAAACGTGTCAAGTTTGAAAACGCTGCTTGCAATACTTTCGGAGAAAAAAATGGGGAATATGTAACTTATTTTAAACTGTCACGAAATTAGACATTTTTAAAAGCTATTTTCTTAAGGTCTACAAACTTGAAACCATATGAATTTATTCTTCATTAGACATGCATTTCAGGTAAAAAATATCTTCCTTGAAACAAAAATATTTGTCTTTTTATAGCATCTGCAATTTTCGAAAATGACAGGTGACGAAGTTGGTGCCTCCATGTTGGTGAAGTTTGATATTTTTTTTTTCTCGTAAGTTATGCCGTTAATAATAAAACCAAGTTGACTTTCGGGCTACCTGGTGAGAGGTACACGGAATATAATATACCCTATGAAACCTAAAATATCAACTTTTGGATCCATGTCGATCTCTTGTGGAATCACCCATTTACTCTGGCTCTTATTAGCACATCGCGCCATCTTTCGCAAGCGCAGCAAGGCAACACCCTGAACTGCCAAGCTAGCAGACGCTCTGCAAATAAACCGCAAAACTACTCACCCTGAGTCAGACAGTAAGCATGTTTCACACTTTTCCTATCATGTAAATTTGTGCCGTTTTTTTCTTGTGAAACGTTGAGGAGACCATCCTCGACAATCCGCAATGTCTACAGCACGTGCATTGCTGACTGCGAAAGCAAGATTGTCGGGTACCTACTATCACAATGAAAAAGAAAAAAACCCGATGAGCTGAAAGCGTGGCTTCAATGGAAATTTGTGCGATCTGAAAACAGTGCACCTGCATAATTTCCGCGTTATGTTGATATTCACAGGCAGTGCCAGATATGCTTATATTCTTTTCGAATCCAAAGATGGGGCATTGGTGCCCCAACGACTTTTTGTAAACAGGAGCGATGTGAATGGGCGCTTTCTCGTATTTTAAAGCCCCAGAGACGCCGCTTGCCACAAATACACACCCTGGCAGTTCAGAACAAAATGACCGTCTGGGTGTGAGATTGGCAAACTTGTGCCCTTACAGAAGTAGAGAAACATTTGGAAATTTCTGCCGCTATGACCCAGAACCGGCGTATTGTGAAACATTTTACTATGTTCACCAGAGATTTGTGTAGCAATATATTCCACCCAGAAATGACAAAAAAAATTTAGGTGTCTTTGTGGTTTTTTGCCATATCTGAGCCAACAGTGCTCAGATATGGCAAAAGCAAGTGGCATCTCTAAATGATGCTGACTCACAAGGGATTAAAACCTTGCTACTACAGTCAAACCTCATTATAACAAAGTTGCATCTTACAAGAAAAGTTTGTTATATCTGAGAATTCTATAAAGGTTATTCCTAACACTATATCATTTAGAAAGATGTTTTCATTTACTTCATTGTAAACAATATTTTGTTACATTGAGGTTTGAGTGTACTACTGAATAATACCGCAGTGTCAGAAAGAACAACCAACCCGGAAAATGTACGAGAGTGACAGGCTTCATGCTCGTTTACATGACAAAAATTAAGACCTTTCAAGGCTATGAGTGCGAATTTTTAAGGACCACATTGTCTGTTAGAAATCAAACTAACACATGTTCAGAAAGGATGCAGGCTTGAAATAACTAGAATTCATAAAAAAAAGGTAACATCACTGAAGCTGACATAAAAACATGAGTCCAATGACACTTTCTTTCTAGACAACTTTCAATCATAGTTAGGTCCTAAAGGTTCATGGGTAATTGCTTTTAGCATGACAGAGTTGTAAACTTTTATTCATATATAAAAAAACTAAGGAACAGTTATTACTCAATGCCTTGTTGCTTTTTCTGAATGTTCATATCAATATCTTGCTATCTGCTGCTTGGTCTTGGCAGTATTCCTAAGGCTGTTTGACTTGATGCACATCACAAGTCTGATGTAGCAGCAGCTTCTAGTTTTTGTTTTTGTTTTTGTAATCACTTTGACCTCCTCCTCAATGCCTTTCTTTTTCCGTTTCTCATCCTCCTACTTCTACCTTTTATGTGTTTCCAGAAATGCACGGTGTTGGTTCTGTACAGAAGTTACAGATGTTCTCAATTCTTTTGTGATGGCCACATTACATATGCCACCTGCTACATTTACGGCATCACAAGTGGTGCGCTGTGAAATGTGCAACAATTGTTATTTTTAAAAAAGGGGAAATTCAAGTATTTGCAAAAATTCTGGCACTTTCAAGGCCTTGAAAACAAACTTTCAAATTCAAGGATTTTCAAGGACCCACATGAGCCCCAGAGAGGTTGTGTGCGTGTAGGCAGACAAAACGTATAGAAAAACATACAAAGAGATGCAAAACTTTTTTTTTTACAACAAAAGTCTTCTCCGTTTATTTTTCCTTGCTTGAGGGGAAAAAAAATCTCGTTTCATTTTAAAACCTTACTACTACTACTTATGTACAAATCTGTGGCAGCTTGATAATAAACTCTCCAAAAAGGCAAGAAACAGTGCTGGGACCACCAACTCTGGCCCCAGCCAACATGATACGATGCCTCAAACCTCGCAGTAATAATCGCACCTATAATTAATTACACAATTTGCGCGCATTTAAAAACCGTTCAATGAGAACAGATGGAATTTTGTACAGATGATATTTTGTTTCCCCTCCTCCCAGATGCGTCTAAGTGCCATCACTTTTTCGTGATGCGCTTGCTTCGTGGCCTTGCAAGTGGTCGCTCACTGTGCGACGAAGTCGTTCCTATAGAGAACAGGTTGCTGGCGGCTGCAGGAGCACCTGAGAAGGGACAAAGCATAGATGTGTTGCCGATTAAAGGGATTCTGCAATACAGACCGTTTTTTGCAGTCCTAGAGCACAAACCTATGGGAAGTCAGTAAATCTCTGCTAATAGGACTGTCACTCAAACGGAGAAAATGCCTATGAATTGGTTAGCCCTGTATTTGACTGCTGTAATTTCATACATCATTTTCAGAAAATGAAACTTCAGAACCACCTCTCTTTCAGTTTTTTCAGGCTCTCTCGAGGGATTCTAATGTACATCAATATAGGTGCATACTAGGTGGAAACACATCAACCATCGCACTAATTTGCACTTCACAGTACTGTGCTTATGTAACTTAAGAAAGAGAGTGGATGTGAGCCATTTGGTACGTATACATAGTTAAAAACAGCACCAAGTCTACACGCAAAAGAATTCACTAGGGAACAGCGCTGCCAGTAGATGCAGCATTAGACCGGTGTAAATTCTTCTCTGTGTTTACTTCACGCTGTTTTTAAATATGCTTATGTGCACTGTCAAAGGCCACTAGAATTTTATTCCAAAAAATTGAAGAGCAGCACGCACAATGTGATAAGACTTTTCGAACACGGGCGCAGCGGATCAGGATTGTCGACTGTGCAGGCTAGGCACGAACATGAAGACAAGAATTGCTCGAGAGACTTCGCTGCTTGGGCAGAGTGGGTGTGGTACGACATAAGCTCTCCACAATACCAGTAGACTTTAGTGAAATCACACGCATGGGCCATGCATGAAACTAAACGATGGCTAGTGACTGCATCTGGCGACAGCAACAATTTTCTATTGCAACACGAAATCGCACATTATGAATAGCTCGGTTTGACTGAAGCTGGACAAGGCAAAGCACATAAAGTTAATATCTACAGTAAACATTTTCCTTTTCTTCTTTAATGTTTTTTTTTGCTATTGTGCATACGCACTGAAATAAATTGTTTACACTTGACTAAGACACTGACTGTTCAGTCTTCCCCAATTCACATCTTCCCCTATTCACAACTATCATATCTTGGGGCTTCTGCATTTTCTTTATACATTGTCCTGAAAAATGTATTAGCAATGTTCTACTGCAGTACTACAATGTTTTTTAACGACACCTTTAACAGCACTTTTATATCCAGATATTAATTCAAAGACACTCCTTTCAATACATATTTAATAAATAAATGCATGTGAAACTTTTACAGCTTATGTATTTTTGTCTCAATTTCAAGTGGGCAATTATATTTTTAGTACAATTAGCAGCTTTTAAGATGTCATACAATGTGCCTTGTTAGGAACACGTTTTATGTCTAAACTGAGAGCCCTAAAGCAATTCAACAATAACTTGGACTGAATAATGTTGGAATAAATACTGCACGTAGTAAAACTAGAATTAATTTTCCAGGCCCATTTGAGCAAAAGTTAAGGTATATTGAACTTTTGACCAAACTTCTTGTAAATTTTAACGCACTACAACTTTTGTTCAAATGGGTTTAGAACATCCATTCTTGTTTTACTGCATACAGCATACATTCCGGGTTATTGTGATACACTAACTTCAATCTTGCAAATTAGGAATAAATGTTGCTCCTAACCACACAAGAAGTACCGTATTTACTCGCATGATCCTCGCACTTTTTTTAGCTGAGAACCAATGCTAAGTTGGGGGATGCGAGAATAACGCGAGGTAAACTTTCCACGAAAATGTACAAAGCAAAAAAAAAGGAAGTGGCCACAAATCAGGATTGTCACATTAGCAACTAACAGCAAGCTTTGAGAAGTACTAATTAAAACTTACCTCAACAATAAAAGTACAGGTTCAACACAAAGCAAGATTTATTTGAGACACAGAAATTGCAAACAAAAAGTCGAGAATCATATACCATACACAAAGTTTATGGGCATTGCGGGCGTAGCGGTAGCATTGGTCGCTCAACAGGAGCCCTCAAAAGGTAAGCGCAGGACGTCAGTATTGGGCTGATGGCTATATAACAGAATCATCCGCAGTTTCCTTCTGAAGAAATAAGGTTTACCACCAATCCCAGTTTTAGGCACACGACGGGCCCAACGCGTCTTGGTGGCTTTCAACAGCCGTCACCAGTAGCGAACACAAAACTCGCAGACTCCGAAGGGCCTACGGGCGGCCCTGTTGCCATCGTTTCAACTTAAAAGCAGCCGTATAGCTTCAGTATCGCCCCATAACGTGACAAGAATACCGACACAACATACAAACACGCCGCAACGCCCACTTGCAACTTTACCTTGGCTTGGATTGAATCTCCGTGCAATAATAGTACCACGACCGCTGGACAAAAGAGCGCACGGGTACGGCCCGCCGCGTGCTCAAAAACCGGCATGACAGGTCTAGTTCCCTAACCACCGCTGCGGCGCCACCAGGGGGGAACAGTTCTCGCGAGCGCCCATAGAATCACATGCGCGGTGCGCTTGCGGTAATTACGATTGAGCACGTGTATCTTTGTGTGACCCGCGAAATCTTTTAATATCCGTCTGGCGTGTGCGCACTAGGTAATTACAGACCTTGCTTTTAAATACCTGCAGCCCTTGAAGATTATTGGTATTGTCCTACCCGAGATGGAACCTCGCACACGATCAGTTTTCACGAAAGTAAGAATTGTGAGCACATTTTGCTCGGATTCTACAAGATCTCGACTAATAGATGTGGAAGAGCTACACTTTTCTAATGCATCTAAATTAATTATAGTCCCTGTGAGTATGTTGCTTCAGATAACGTCGCTTCAAATTTAATAACTTCATTTAGAATATTTAACCACAGCAACTGCACTTGCCGCTATTCTTTTAACACAAACTAAGATAGACTTCTCACTTCCTCCAAACATGTCGATAAGTATTTATACAATACAGTATCAGATGCAACAGCCACGAAATATACTTAGCATGAGTGCGATCTCATAACATTGGACTAGAGCTTTTTTGAAATTTCAGTGAGTGTAATTTAAATGCTGGCAATTTAGCGAACAGTTATGAAGTAAATAATACGAAAACTGTGAGACGAAAAGAGCGATGAAATGCTGCAAAATGTGAACACAACTGCTTGCGTTCCTGTGCTTTTGAGTGTTTTCGTGTCTTTCCGTTCCAATGTTCTTGTGATAATGCAACTGATTCAACAGTGAACACATAAACCTGTGCTCGCTGAAACGAAGGCATGTCACGTGCACTCGACTGCCCTGCAGCAGCCGTGGTTTTGCGATGCGTAAACATAATAGTAATAATAATATAATAATAATATAAGTGTATGTCGCGCATAAATAAATATACCTTGAGTTTATCCCTGCAGTCTCACAATTTTGTTTCAGGAGTTGCGGCCTATTATTGCAAGTGTCAGTGCATAAGATATAAGCCATCCCTGGCCAGTAATAAATAAACATATATATATATACATACACAACCGTGTACCGGACAACATGAAAAATACTCAAATTATGTTTCTTTCATACGCTTTTAGAATATAAAAACTGTGAATGTCTATTGTAAAGTGTCCAAAAATTATTTGTCAAGCATTCCGGCTGAGAAAACGCGAAAGTGCTGAATAAACGTCACAATAATCAAAATATATTAGTGTAAGACATCTTCATAAATAGAACAATAACTTTGTCACGCATTCAGTGCCATATCAGTCAGCTACATGAATGTGGATTTTTCTGTCAGCGTCAAAGCAAAAAGCTGGTTCTAAAAAAAAAAAAAAAAAAAAAAACGTCAGGTGCTCGGCAAGCACAGGAAAAATCTATTGGCTTTTGAACTAAATAGAGCCTCGTAGTCTACTAGATATGCGATATGTCATCGCTGTGATAAATAAGATTAAAAAAACACTGATTAGAACAAGAGAGAGGGGGACGCCTTTGTGGCCTCATAGAGAGGCCTCATGGGAGAGGCCTTTGTCCTGCAGTGGGCCTAGTCAGGCTGCTGCTGATGATGATGATTAGAACAACTGAGTGGGTCACTGTTGCGACAAACACCAGCTAATTTACTGCGGCTGCGGCCGCCACTTATTTCCCCGTCCCTCTTGTCCCCGCCCGTTGCGCTGCAGTGGCCGCAACTGACCCTACGGCTGACACGCGCTCTCCCATACAAAGCTGCTCCATGCGGCAGGCCGTACCGTACGCATTTTCATCTAGCGGCCGTGATAGTACGCTTGATGCTTAAGAGACAGCACATGCTATCATAATCAGTGGCTGGAACGAGCGGACGACATTATTGCGGCAGTTTTCGGGGGTGCGATAATCACTCGAGGAAAAAAAAAAACTCATTTTTGTTGGGCGATGTGGGGGGTGCGACAATTATGCGAGTGCGAGGATTGCGCAAGTAAATACGGTATTCAATATTTTAAATGCTACAAATCGTATTAGAACAATCATTGCTCACTTTGAAATCAGCATATCAAATTAAATAAGCTCTGAAAGTGAAAATCCACTCAAAAACAACATGTTTCAGAAGCAGGGTCTCCCCTTAGCATCATTTCCATGGTAGCTGTTCAGAAGCTAGCATAGGAAGTGGCACCACACTTCCCTTTAGGTGATATTGCAAGCAATGCTTACAATTATTATAGAATAAAATGAAGGTAGTTATTTTCATAGAAATTTCACTAAAAGAAAGCTCAGCTACAGATGTTTAAGCAAACAGTGAAGATGGAAAAGTCTTTGCAAGTTCAACATGGTGAGGACGAAGGCTTACCAAAGTTGAAAGCTGGCTTGGGAGTGGCATTAGTTCCACACTGCGACGCTCCAAAGTTGAACGACGGCACCGACGAGTTGTTGGCCGCGCCGAACTTGAACAGTCCTGAAGCTGCAACACTGGGCTGGGCTGTGGCATTGCTCGAGATGCCATTGCTCAAGCCGTTGGTGGAAGCACCAAACGCATTCTGTGCTGCGCCAAATTGGAATCCGCCAGGCTGAGCCGCCGCCGCAGAAGGTTGGCCAACGGGTGCTGCGCTGGGGAAGAGTGGCGAAGTGGCGCTCAACTGGGAGAAAGCGGACGTGCTGGCCGCGCCAGCCCCGAAGGAGAAAGGTGAAGTGCTCGATGCGGTTGTAGTGGCAGCCGTGCCGAATGTGAAGGGATTGGCAGCTGCCATGCCCAGAATTGCTTGCTCCGAATGCAAAAGGAGTGCTATTTGCCGTAGCAGGTGGGGTGCTTGCCGCCCCAAAGCTGAACGGTTGGGGTGCTGCTGGTGCCGCCTCCTGCTTCAGAACAGGCGTCCCAAACTTGAACGGTGCTCCCGAAAACAACGAGGCTGTGGTTGTCGCCGCTGAAAGCGGAGCTGAAGCGGTTGCCTGCTGTGGTTGCTGGTCCTGTGTGCCGAATTTGAAGACCGAACCACTTCCAGAAGAGGCAGCAGTGGTACTACTTGCACTGAAAGAAAACCCGGCTTGCGTAGTTGCGGCGGTGCTACTGGCAGTCGAAACGCCGGCTCCGAACGTGAAGCCGCCGCTAGCAGGTTGAGTGCCGATACCAGTTGTTGCCGGCGCCTGCGCAGCCACTGAGCCAAAGAGTGGTGTTGCAGTCAATTTCGGTGCAGGGCCAGCCCCAAAGTTGAACATACTGGTGCCCGATCCGCTCAATGTTGAAGTAGATGTCTGCAACAGTGATGCCGAAACTGGAGTGCCAACAGGTGCCACTGTGCCCAACTTGAGCCCCCCCAATGGCGGGCTTGTGGCCTGCGTGGTATTTGTTGTGGTAGAAGGTGCAGCAGGTAACCCGCTCGAGCCAAATTTGAATGGCTCCGATGTCGACGGTGCAGTGACCAGGAAGCCCTGCGATGTGGTTGGTTTTGCTATTTGTGTGTTGGAGCCAAACTGGAAAGATGCCGGAGTCAGTGAAGCGGCGCTTGCCATAATAGCAGTTTGTGTCGTTGGCTTTAAACATGGGCGTTGATGGCAGCGCAGGAGTTGCACCAGCTGCCGTTCCGAAACACGGCTGTGCTGGAGCAATCGAAGCTGTACTTGAAATCGGCTTGTTGCCTCCGAGTGATGGCCCCGTAAAAACGAAGCCTCCCACTGCAGGTTTTACTTTGTCGGGAGCAGGAGCAGTGGTGGCAGTGGAAGCTGTGGCGTTCGGCAGCGACAGTGCAGACGCCTGCGTCGACGAAAGGGACGCAGCCGCTGAGCTAGTTGGGGTTGGCAAGAGCTGTGATGCAGCAGGAGAGGCAGTTGTAGTGGCTTCTGTAGCTTTTGGGGATGTAAATTTCGCCAAGGCAGCCAATAGTGGGTTTGCCGTAGAGGAAGCTGCGGCTGCAGGCACTGACGCTGGCACAACTTGTGTGACTGCTTTCGAAGCAGTCGTACTTGCAGTACTGGTGGTGGAGTTCGAGCTGAAAAAGCCAGCACCGAGCTGGGGTTTCGGTGCCACTATAGCAGTGCTTGCTGTTGGTGCGGTGGATGCAACAGATGTGCTCATGGTGGTGGCTGGCGCCGAACTGAGAGCCGGAAGATTTTTCTCTTCGTCTGGCTGGGGCGGTGAAGCCACGGTGGATGACGCGCTCATAACGGGGCTGCTGATCACCGACACCGTATTGGTGGTGGACCCCAGTACCAGAGTCGCACTGGTCGTTGCACCAACTGGAATGCCAAACGTAGGGAGGCCAGGTGTCTTCTCCAGGGCGGAGCGTTTTTCTGCGTCGGCCTGAGCGGAAACTGGCGTCTTCTCTGCTGCGAGAAAAAATGACAGAAAATGCCATCAGAAAGCATCTCTCACAGAAAACTAGGGGCGTGCGAGTATTCAATGTTACGAATATTTTTCTAATAGCATTTGCTATTCGATTTACAGTGGAATTTTACTATTTGAACTATTCGAATTTCCCAAAGACAAATACAGCAAACATTCAATTGGCAGTGGCCTCTTCTGATTTTCAATATGCTTCACTCCATCACGATCTCGTATTGCGACAGGGCTGCTTTTCAGGCTTTGCCACGGTTGCGAATGTACCGACTCCAGAAAATGTTGGGTCCAACATGAAGATGATAGATGTGGCAGAGGTGGGGGGCTCACTTAATGCTGTTTCGAACCTGTGATTTGGGAAGGAAATCTGAATAATTGAATGCCAATGATTTTTATCGTCCAAAGTTTCAGATGTTCTTAAACACTGATGTCTACTAGGCAGATTTGGGATTCCAAGCTTGAGGAAAGCACAACCTTGTCTGCCACATCAGTTGGGCTTCTACAAAAGTTGAAAGGGGAAGAGAGAGGCTGAAGAAATAGCACCTTTGCCTTTTACACGTAATGTGTTGTTGGCAACAACTTTGCTTGCACCAAATCATGAACATAAAATAGAATTCTGCCTCTGCATTGCTTCATTCTTGATAATACAACCATGAAACACCACTCTGCCAGTGATTCGTCAACCTAGCCAAAGCTTGCTTTCATGTGGCTATCACCATCTCATAAGAATATGCTTAGGGGTCCTCTCCAGGCTTCCCTTTTCTCCGATTGTGTAAGTAGATGTGTAAGATGTGTAAGTAGCAATATTTTCTCCGAAAATATTGCTACTTACACATCTCTACAGAAAAGAAAAATGAAATAAAGAAAAAAAATGGGGGGAATAGAACAGGTAAAAAAAAACAGCCAAGCAGAACTCATTGCAAAAAACATTCAATAATAATGAAGTAGTCTATAACAAAGTGGCAATTACTAAAATAAGAAGTGACAACTTAGGTACAAGTGATGGCTACACATTGCAGTAGGTATTCCCCAATGCACATCATCATGAAAGCCCAAGGCATAAGATAATACTGGGGCTTGTACACTGAGATGCGTGTACGAAATAACAGTTGCTGCAACCCTTGCAAGGCACTAACCATTCGCTTGGTCGCTAACGTCCTGCAGCCCTCCCAACAGTCGGTTGAGCCGTTGCTTATCGCGGGCCTGGTCATTCTCATGTTCCTTCAGGGTCGCAATGTGTTCCGGGTACACCACCTTCTGCAATTCCGACAAAGGTACCTTGTATGTGACACAGAGTCGTCAAAGTTCAACGACAATAGTTAAAAACTACTTTGCCTTATAAGTCAACATTAAGTCAGGCACAACAGTCTTCATATACATGTCTGATATCAAGTGATGAGCATAGAGCTTCTGAAATGCAATCTTATTGGTACAGCTCCACAAACTCCCGGCTACACAAACGCTTCTAATGATCAAGGCTAATACTATAGAATGTCAATAATGTGAAGGAACCAGCTGATACACAAAACCCATGAGCCTTGAGAAATTACTAAGCTAGGCAGCACGTGCGTCAGCAGGCCTCCGATGGCTTTATCATTGAAAATGATTTTCTTCAGTACACTAGAATGCATGATATTCATGGCATGCAGTCAGAATTAAAGCATAAGGTTTTTATATGTGCTTTGCTTTTACCATTTTTTCTTTTTGTTATACACTGCACAAGTATATATTGTGTGGTTGTGACAAAGAAACCTTGTTGCACGTGAGAGCGGTTGTCTGCGTCCTCCTTTTGTTGTCCCTTAGATACTAGTGCTGTTTCTTTTTATTCCTTTCGCGAAAATTTAAACTGTATTGCACAGCAAAAACAAACGCCTTCAATATAAGGGGTGAATTTCTCATTGTAAAACAAGGCTGACACATTGCCTTAAAAGAAAACCCTTATGGAGTGATACAAGCGTCAGCCCTGTACCTTCTTTTCAATGGTGCTCCAGTCAAGGGGCTTGACTCGGCTCCTCAGCTTGGAGGAATCAACAGGCTCGCTTTCTGTTGACTCTTTTGACACTTCTCCTTCTGAGGGAACATCATTCTACAAAAAAGAAATCGACAATAAGGATGTTATTCATGGGCTGGTGTAGATGATTGCTGAATTCTGGACTTGAAGTAACCAAGCATACAACTAACGTGCGATGGCTCGTTTAACAACTAAAAAGACGTTGGCCTTTGATGGTTACTGATGAAAATTGACAGCACTCTTGAACTACTTTGAGTCTTATCAACGACTCAAAGTAGTATGTGCACAAGTTACTTATTAGTTGCAAGGATTAAAACAAATGAAAAGACAATAATAATTACCTTGCCCCTGTTGTCACTAAGGGTGCATCGAATGATACATGCACCTCTAGTAAACACAAGTTACCAATATCGATCCTTAACGATATGCATACACTACAAGTTTAACGAATACAAGATGGTTATAGAGGGGGTTCAATTCATTTAAAAGCTTATGGTCCAATGCCTTCTCTGACATCATGGGTCACAAACAAAGGTGCATGTGCGGATGTAATGTGCCAGTGACGTAGCGCTCATATCACTTCACCAAGCTAGCGTGATAGGCTGGGCTCGCAATAATGGAATCGTAGTTTCACAGTGTGCATCATGTGCCTAGCATACAAATAGGACTTACTTCTTTACTGCTGTCTTCGATCTTTTCCGCTGACTCTTCCTCATCAGACTGAGGTCTCCTAGGGAGGGAGAAAAAAGAAGTTCAGGACGAGAGCATGATGCATGACTCAACTACTTCTAAGGACACCAGCAAGTAAGAATATTCAGAGCAATATGGCTCACAATAATAGCTGATGGAATAAAGGCGGACAGGGTGTATGAAAAGCCTGCTTCACTACCCTCACCTGCATTCCTTTCTGGTCTGTTTTGACAGTGGTGTCGAGTCAGGTGGTACAGCTTTCCGCTTCTGGCTCTGGCTGTTCCTCTGCAACACCACAGTCAAACATAAAAAAGATTGTCACTTCAAGAAAATGACACAATATAAAAATACAATACATTATCAATAGCTTTATGCCTGAACACGTGTGAAAGGAATATTCAACTGTAGGCCCTTCGTCATCAGGCAGGCCATTAGCGCAGACGACTATATATAGATTGCACAGCTCAGTTTTTTGCTAGCACCGTTCTCGCTCTTTTGCTTTGTACATTTGTGGCGCTTTGTGCTCAATGCATTTTGTCAATCATCTAAATTACCTGAGAATTGGTGAAATATGTCCAAAATAAATGGGTGATTGGAGCCGTTAAATAATGCATATCCTTGCTCTCATCACAGCTTGAGTCTGAATCAAATTCACGAGCTTTAGCAGCTAAGCCGTCATACCCTGTGTCATCATTGTAGTAGTTGTCCTGCTGGTGTCATGACAAGAGAAGCGAGTAAATAACTAAAATAAGATGGATAATTGTACTTGAAATGATGACGTGACATAATGATGACACTGCTTGTGGACCTGCGCAGCTGTGACAATAATACGCATTTTAGGAGAGTGCAACGAGACCCAACTGCACTGAAAATACTAACGTAGGACATCAGTGCAGCTATAAACATGCAGATCGCCACGCCTGCTGTTGCTACCAGGGAATCTCTCGCTCCTCTACATGGCGCGGCATTCCAGAGCTCGCCATGTAAGAAAGAGCCCGCTATGTACATAATGTAAATCAATCCTCTCTAACAGGTCAACTTCCTCCTGCCTTGACATCTTCATCCTGGATCTGCGGTGCCTGCGAACCACGGTCACAACACTGCGGAGCTCAAGGATTACCGCAAAAGGGGGGGGGGGGGGGGTGATCGTATTATTGCCCCTTTTTACACAAGAGGGCCATACACAAGAGGGTGGGATTTCCCAATTACAGTAGAAGATGCGAGTCACAAAGAAAGACGAAAACACTCCCAACTCCCGAAATTCTGCATCATCAAAACAACTAGCAACAAAACATATTTCTCTCCAAAGAACTTGCATATGTCTTCCTACGACACACGCAAACGGACAGGACGGCACAGGCGGTTACCGGGAAAGCACAGGTAGAAGCTTCGCTTGCGACGAACTGAAAAACTGAATGTTGAAGTCTAGCCAAAGTACGCATGTAGACAGGAACAACATACCTTACTGGATTCTTTGGACAGGAATGACAGAAAACTTCTAGGATTTTTTTACATGTTTATTGCCTTTAATCTACCACTGTGTTAGCCACGTGCTCTTGTCTAGTAGTTGCTATTGATGATTGCGTTGGTGCCACCACTGTTTCGCGCATGGCGGTTGTAAAAAATGGTAGTTCCGTTTTCAATTCGCGTGCGCAGGCAACGCACGCGCCTTCAAAACCAAGTCGTTTGTTTGCTATCTATGATTGAATCTGCCGCAGTTTTGTCGGCAGCATTTGTGGAAAGTAACGTCACTTTTACTGGCTGTGCATTGAACGTGCGTGCGAATTTAGAGTTCTGGCAGTTTCGTCGATGTCTTAAATGACAATGTCAAAAGTTTCGTCTACAGCAGTTGTTGCTAACGATAACCACAGTTCTGACAGTGCATGATCTGGCCGCACGCGTCGTTCCGAAGCTTCTAGCACGCTGATCTCGGCCTTCGTTTGACTGTTTCGGTACTAAAGTTCATACGACCCGCATCGATGAGAAAACGTGTTTGGAACATCTAAATTTTGCCAATGGACATGGTGAAATTTGGCTGGGGAATTTCACGAATTCGTATCTGCCATTTTTGTATCATGATTCAACCGTATGTTTAGATAAACACCTTCTAAATTCATTTACAATAAGATGCAAGTGGTTCGCAGAAAGCCTGGATCAGATTGGGCTGCATTTTTGTCAACCACGCACAGAAATTTCCATTTCGGTAAGATTTTCCAGACAACCGTATAAACGTAACAACTGGTCGAAATCCACGAGTCTGCCGAAAAATCTGGGAGACATGGCAGGTATGCTATTTTTATGGCTAAGCCCAAAAAACTAAAAATGAAAAAGAAATTCGAAGTAAAAACTTGACTCAAAGGAGTGCTGACATGGTTTTAAGGCACCCCAAAAAGGACATTTTCCGCCTCGTCTCTATGATGGAGACCACCATCGCTCTCCACACACCACAGCTAGACAACACAGATAAAATATTTTACTTTGATGTTAAAGCTTTCGTCGAGCAGCAATTGCAAGCCAGCCCCATTGCAATGGACATACAGTTCACTGGATTTGCGAAACCTGCACCCTGCATGCAGTTCAAATCGCAGAAATCGCTGTTGGAGTCCCTGGATAACCATTCATTCGTTTACATGAACTGCGTGCAACTGACTGCAAAGTGGCAGCTGTTGCCAGTATCTAGAGAGTTGCAGTCTTTTCGTGATGCCATACTTGTGCTAACACGCCACAGCGAATCTGCCCCCTTGATACTGTACTTCAGCCGAAATCGCCTTTCTGAGATAGAGGTATTCAAAAAATATGCAGTGGAGTATTCCCAAGCACCATGGCACTGGTCTAAGGGTTCTCTACACCCCTACTTTCATTTACAGCAAACAACCGAAAATATTTAAAGTTTGTGTTGTTACACTTTCAAGAGCAAAGTGAAATGCTTGATGAAGGGGAAGTAAAAACAACGCAAAAATATTCTGTTCAGGCAAGCATGCTCCATTACTTCACCGACGCAAGAAGTCAGGGAGATGGGCCGCATGTTCTGGATTTCTAGGGGTTTACCCGGCTTAGGAATGAGGATCACGTCAGATTTCTTTTATTCGTCGGGTATCTCCCCGTCTCTACAGCTCTCGTTTATGAAGTCTGTCAAACGGCTCGTTCCCTGGTCGTCCAAGTTCCGGAGCATCTTGGACACTTTGTCGGGACCTGGAGCTGACTTGGTCTTGATAGTCTGCAGGACTGCCCTGATTTCTTGCTGTGAAAAGTCTCCGTCAAGATCTTTGTTGGGAGAGCCCGAGTATTTCTGGTGTTCGACTGCCGGGGGTCTGCTGAGTTAGACCTTGACGATTTCATCACCCATCTGATGGATGTTCCCTTTATACCTGTGTCTTATCTAGGTCATTCCCGCTTTCACCGCCGTTTTGGTGGCTGACAGGTCCAGCAGGTGCTTGAGGATTTTCCATGTCTTGCCTGTGTTAGACTGTCTGACGTCATCGGTATCATTATGAGAATGTGCTACTGCGGTGCATGTGTTCTTGTGCATCTACCTCAATTTCTCAATAAATAGGGGATTTCTGTTGATAATAGTGTCGTTTTAGATGTTGTCGTACATTGAGCTTTCACTCTGATGTAAATTGTTATTTGATTTAGGTGTCCCTTTAATCAAAATAAAAAGCTTATTTATCACCTTCACAGCTGAAAGCAAGCCACAACTCCAAGTCATTTCAAAATTCCTTGTCCCAGCGTTCAAACTAAAGTTGATGGAGATGGGTGCCGTAGCCCACAATATTTTACATGAGCCACGATTTTGCTATCCACCTATCGCTCTCATCGACAAAATTCCATTGCCAATGGGTGTAGCCAAACATTAATACCGCTTGCTGCAGGATTCCCTTGCTGGAGCAGTAGGAGATGGCAATGGCGTTGTTGCGATGCCGCTTGGCCGAGCCAGGAGGACTCGACGTGGAGCACAGGCGGCCTCGCTTAAAGGTCGCCTCAGGCGTCGGCACCATGGAAGAAGGCACAGGGCCCCGCAACACCGCATTTTTGCTCGGTGATCCCAGATAAGGAGGCCCGAACCCGCCTACTGATGTCACGACTGGTGTGAATGGTGGCATCTGGGGTAGGCAGAGGCTTTCACGTCGTGATCGCTTGCTGCTCTGCACCGGGCTGGGGCTGAGGCCTGTCGAGTCGAGGCCATCTTGATACGCTCGCTTCCTGCAGGCAATGGCAATTTTTTAAGCTCTTTAATCAAACAAGATGTCTTGGTTACAAGAGCCAGATGAGCTCTTCCTGACGGGGACCCCAGCATCTGAATGCACACAATCAGCATACACAGCAACATTGAAAATGAGAACAATTAAGTTACATGGAAAATAAATGAGTCACAAGAAGTTTTCGATTACGACACCGGCTAGTGTGAACTTTGAGCGCAGCTTCATGTTGGGGCAAGGCCAACTGTGTTTAAAATTTTGGCTTTCCGCAAAGTATCGGCTACGCTACGAATACATTATTATTATTAGTCTTTCTGCGGATAAGCAAGGTATCCACTTCAGATCTTTAAGGTATTACGTGGGCTTCATTGATGCTCGCCTCATTGTTTACGTATCACTGCCCTTCAATTATTTCTTTTAACGTTTCAGAAAGATGTGTCATTGCTTAGTGGTGTTTACAATTTTTTACTGACCTCCTCTCCTTAAGAGCTTGAATGACACTTTCTGTGGAGCATGGGTCCTGCTTCTCAGGTTCGCCACTTGCTGCTGAATGGCTGTGCAGAGGAGAGAAAACAAATGAGAAAATGGCCTGAGCTTGAATTTAAAAATCAATCTTGAATTAAGAGCAAAGGCAACGGCAGAACACATTTAAGTGGACTCTGGTACTCGCATCATAGATCTGTCAGAATGAAATGTCACGAGGTACACAAACCAGGCATAATGAAAACTTGAACCTATGCATATCTATAGATCCTGGAATAAACCCAAGCTTTTTCTCTTCTCCATCTTTGCGCTTGCTTTGCTTTAACACCATCCCTCACTTTTTCCTCGAATCCGAACAAACCAGCTCAATAATATGTCATTCCCTTGTTTTCAAATGAAAATTTCGCTCATATAATCTGAATCATGTTGTAAACGCCACCTTGCAAACGTGTACGAACTTCCCGGTGCTGAGACGTACCCAAATGTCTGGTTCTGCACGTGGGACGTTGTCAGAGGCAAGATCTTGACCTTCACTGCCGGTATCAATTCTGGCGACGAAAACGGTTTGGCCAGTGGCAGTGGAGACTTGTTGAGACACACCACTGGATAGCTCCCCACAGAGTATTTCTCCTGCTGGATTGGGTGCCGTCGGGTGGTGACAGGGAGCCAGTCAAGATGAGACTTCCTGCAATGAATGAATGTAAACGAGGCAGGTTGAACTGTGCAATCTTGCTCTATATGTAAGCATGCCATCGAATAAGCCAGATTACGCACAGTGTGCAGCAGGAACTGCCAGGAACCTAAGAAGTCTCGTCGGCTGAGTGAATGGCCACTGAACAATTTAGAGTCCTGTGCAACGGTTATTAATTTTGGCAAGATGCTAGCACATCTCAGAGACATACATACACTCAAACCTTGATGCAACAACCTTAAATATAATGAAATATTGGTTATAACTAAGCAAATGAAAAATAGTCTTGCAATACACATTCATGACAAATTTTTAAATATGACGAACATATTTTTGTGTAAGATGCAACTTTGTTGTAATGAGGTTTGAGTGTGCTAACCTGCTTATGCATATGAAATGGAAACGGCATTTTGTAGAAATAAGGTTGCTAAAAAATGAGGAAAGCCTTTTTGTGTGTGTGCGTGCGTGACAAAGCTTCAACATGTTAAACAGGAATGCATGACCATGTGTCTGTCTATACCTTCACCAAGTTGCTACAAAAACTACTTTGCATTACTGATAAGGATTATACCAGAGCCCTACTATATGACAAGGAAATAAGGCTTCTTAATTTCATTATGTACAATAATATACACAGCAGTGTGCTCAATATTGCAATCTATGTTAAGCCTATAACAATCACGAATGTCAGGTTGTCTTATCCTCTTCTGTGTCCGTATTTTCGTGCTCACCCCGGCTCCTTCAAAGTTCTCATGCTCAACCTAGCTCCATGTTTCCCACTGACTCTAGCTCTTTCATAATGAATTCCATAATAACTGTGCTTTGCTGAATCCAGGCTTTTCAAACAGGCATTCATAAACATATGTCATGTTATTGAGTTTTAACAGCCGCAAACCACGGTTAGTTGAAACTTCCCCATGGCAATATGCATGGAACAGAATATTTATGCGACTGTTTCTGTTGAATGACTCGAGTGTTCTGCCCTAATAGAGCTGCCACATTTGTGAGTGTTGCAGCAGATGATCAGGCTGTAACAGTTCTGACATAAAATTGCGATAAGCAGTGACATCGTAAGTTAACTGCAACAATATTACTCAAAGTTTTCCGCCTTTAAAATGAACCCAATTTTTTTTTTTGACGCAGGGTGGCTATTGCCAGCCAAATGATGATGTTCGCTTTAGACAACATTTCCGATGAACGGGAATTGAATTGAAGGCTCAGCAAGCTGTTTTTATCATTTATCTGCGCAGGCACAGTTCAACTCAGGGTGAGTAAACTCGGAGACTCCTTATCTCTGTTAACAGCAAGCTAGGGGTTAAAACAAATGCTAAAAAACGTTGCCCTTTAATGTTTACTCAACAAGTCAGTCTTCAAAGGCTCACTTCACCCAAGCATCATGACAGCCACCTCAAACTCTGTGTGCTACAGGATACATTGTGAAAACTGCAACAATAATGTTCTTTAAAATGAACAAAATGCGTGGAAAACTGTTGTGTTCTGCTAATGTACAGTGTTGGTCAAAATTTTGCAGGCCACGCTTCTATAGAAATACATGGGATAGTGGCTTGGAAACTTTTTGAGCCCCCTATACATGAATGAAGTTTAGGTACACAAGGCACACACAGCGTGCATTTGTCTGGGATTTTTACCACTGTTTCATGCCCTAGAAGCTCCATTATTCGCATACCAGCATGCCTAAACAATCACTTAAGTGGCCATTGTACAAGCAAGCATGCCTTGGGCCCACCTACATTTCTAAAATGGCAAGATATCACTCTCGAAGACACGCTCTTTGTAGCTACTCCAACGGCTCAAAGTGCGGCCAAAAAGGGCCCGCAGTCCTTTCAAGGTAAGAAAGTGAGTTTAATTGTGTCAAGATCAGAAGTGTATACTGTTTTATAGATGAACTCTTTTACGACCCATTCGCTGACTAAATGAAGGGTTAGGCAGTTAATTTCTCATAGGTTCAAGCTTTTGGTAATTTCATTTGTGAAATAAACTAGAGCAGCTAAGTAGCTGTAATACAGTCTTCACAGGCTTGCCTGAAGTTCTTGCAGTCATGCAGCATACAGCGCGTGCCAACAATATTGACCGCTCATCATGTTTTTAACCTATGTTTACCAGTAATCCTAATGGCAGCTCGCCTGCAGATACATTTCATCACAACTACTGTAGTTGTGTGTTACAACCAATTGCATAAAAAGGAGAACGGGCCAAGGGCTCACTTCTTTGTTAGACACAACCTATTTGAGGCCAAGGAAGGTATAAGAGATTTACAGGACAGTTACAGGAGCATTTACAGGACGCTTATTACTGCAGTAAGAGGGCCGAAGAATTGCACCAGAGAGATGGTATGCGGATACAACAGTGCTACACGTGAAGCTAAGTATGTCAAGGTGACGACAAGGTGCCAATAAAGAAATAATAAGGAAGGGGGAAGTGATGAATGAAATGTGGAGGTGTGATTTCTTGTAACAACGCTACACGTTTTTTTTTTTTTGTTCTATCTGACATTTGGAATAACACGCAAATATCGCGAGACATAACAGGGAACTGAAACTGTGACTCATGTTTATGCATGCATTCGACATAACCTCGGGTGCACTCATGGTCTCAATTTTTCTAAATAAAGCAGCACTATAGCTCTGCGAGCACGACAATGAATTAAAGGGTACGAGGAAGGTTTGACAGAGGCGGGAAAGCAGGCTCAGAAAAAGTGAACGATCATCGGCAAATAATTGCACTGCTTAAATACTACGAACACATTTTCGAAATTCATTCTGCCTAATTTAACGCAGGTGATAGGGAAACTTTTTTTGTTTCCGGAGCTGCTAGACTGTGCCTTCAGCAAGCACCGACGCCCTAAGAGACCACTTTCTGATATCAGTCGTTTTGAATGAATCGCTAGCGTGCACCGTGAAACCACGTGAACTCGGGCAAACGCGCCTAAAATATAAACACGCGCGCATATCGTACAACGAAATGAAGGAGGAGGAAAAAAACGCGCCAAGCTTCGAAATCAGCACGAGACACTACGCGAAACGGTAAACCAGAGGACGAATGGTACACATTTCAGAAACCAGCCCCTCGTTCCAAGCAGGAGGCGCCAACTTATCCGGCGGGCACGTCGGTCATTCAAATTCTAAACGGACCCGGCCGCAAACAGCGCGTGCCGTGTTGAGGCGCGCGATTCACTCACCTCCCATGCGCCAGCGTTGAAGTACTTTGGCACGATCGGTTGACAATGTTGCTTTTGCTCATCAACACCGGACTTGAGTAGCCGTGCGCACTGCGGTCCAGCTCGCCGCTGCGGCGCGAAAGAGAGTCAAAACTATTCCCGGGTGTCACACGCGAATAGTCGAACGACACACTGCCGAAACGCGACGGTGTGGCGCTGTTCGCACAAACCGCGCGTTGCGAGACCTCGCTTCGTCTTCTCCGCTCACGTTTGTCATGCTTTATTAAGCCTAGTATCGATAGACGGTGGCGCAAGTTTTCCTCCCGCCTGTACAGGTAATAATTCACTCCACTCCACAGAATGACGAACGCCGTCGCAGAGTAGATCGTCAGGAAACCCGCGAGCCACACGGCACACAACGAGCACGCACAAATAATATTCCAACGTTGAATTTCGGCACTGAGTGTATCAAACATGTCTACAATGCATCTTGCGCGCCGAGGGGGGTAGAAATCCGGCTAGGGCGGCAGCGAACATTTTCAAAAGCGGTGATTGGATGATAACGCGTTACGTAAAGAACAGATCGTTACCTGTAAATTTATTTTATTAATGCAGTAGGCCTAATAATATTAAATTATTTATTTATTTACTTAGCGTTTTGATTGAGTTTGTGGTAAATTATTTCTACTCGTTTTCTCGCGACTCGGAACAATCATAGCCTCCTAGATTTCACTTGCCTGCCGGATTATCGGCGGTCACTTGAGAAGCGGCTGTCGTCGGAACTATAATGGTGGCGCTACTTAAGTAGGAATGTCTTGAAACAAGTTTTTACGTTTTTGGAGTGTATACGCAACAAAAATATCGTAAAAAGTTTTAAAAATCAAACTTAATTATAATTAATCCTGTGTAAGTGACGCCGTTATATATGACAGACGTTTTGCGCTCATTCAACAGGCAACCCCTTCAATACAAGGCATAGCCTCCAAAGTTAGCAAACGCCAAAGTTGTCAATCTCAAAGACTAAGTACAAACATTCTTAGATAGATGGATGAATAAATATGGCTGTACCCTTTAGATCGGGCGGTGGCTAGCGCCACTAAGCCGTAATAACTAATGAATCAAAAACTATATTATTTTTTTTTCCTTAAAAAGTGAGTTTGAGGATTCGTACTTTGCAGTGAAGAGTTTAATTTTCACTCGTGCCTTGACTTTAGCCACCAATCAGATAATCTCCTTCTAGTTAAGTCTACCCGCTTAAAGTTTATTTTGCCCTCCCGGTCCCTAAACCCCAGTACTTTGAAAAACTCTGCGCCATCATCCTGAACTATAGGGTGAAGCCCTTTACAGAACATTATCAAGTGTTCGGCAGTTTCTTCTTCCTCTCTCCATGCACTGCATACTGTGTCTACCCCTTCGTATTTGGCCCGATATGTCTTGGTTCGCAGTACTCCCGTCCTGGCCTCAAACAGTAGAGAACTACCCCGAGTATTATCATAGATCCTTTCCTTGGCAATTTCCTGCTTAAAAGTTCGATAGATCTCTAGTGCGGACTTCTTAATCAAGCCCATTCTCCACATGTCAGTCTCCGTTTCCTTCACTTTCTTCTTAACCGATAGTTCTTTTAGTTTGGCCACCTGCTGTTTTCATAGTATTTACCAGTCAACTTCCTGGTTCGCTTCCTCCATTTTGTATCGACATTCTTCATGTACAAGTAGCTGAAAACCTTCCTAGCCCAACGCTCTTCCCCCATTTCTCTCAATCGCTTCTCAAATTTTATCTTGCTGCTAGCTTCCCTGCCCTCAAATGATGTCCATCCCATATCACCTTGTACTCCCTGATTTGGTGTATTCCCGTGAGCTCCTAAAGCAAGCCTACCTATTCCACGTTGCTTAATTTCTAATCTTGCTTGAACTTCTGATCTCATGCACAAGACCGCATTGCCGAACATCAGCCCAGGAACCATGACCCCTTTCCATATTCCTCTCACAACATCATACCTATTGTAATTCCACAGTGCCCTATTTTTCATGACTGCTGCATTCCTGTTACCTTTAGTCGTCACGTATATTTCGTGTTCCCTCAGATACTCGGTCCCATTGCTTATCCATACGCCCAGATATTTGTATTTATCTGTTATCTCTAGCGTGACCTCCTGTATTCTAAGCTCACTACCTTCGTTGTCATTGAAAATCATGACTGCTAGCTGATTTTTCCTCACTGAATCTAAAATCTAACCTATCTCCCTCATTACCGCAGATGTCCATCAATCTCTGCGAATCTTCCTTGTTGTTGGCCATTAGCACTACATCATCTGCGTACATTAATGCTGGTAGTGCCTGATAAATAAGTTTTCCTTGTTCGACTAAAGAGAGGTTGAAGCCCAGTCCACTTCCCTCTAATTTTGCCTCTAATCCTTGTAGGTACATCATAAATTTTTATTCCTACGTAGGCAGCGCCGCCATAGATGACGGGCGTTTCGCGTTCATTCGGCAGGCAAAAAAAATCTAGGAGGCTATGGAACGATTTACGACATTTGGCGGCATTTGGCCGGTGCACAACAAGGGTTCATCCGCGGTTACTTTGGAACGAAGCGGTAAGTATTGAAACTGGAACGCGCTTGAAATTGACGAATTTTGTCGTGTCCTTGTGAACACATACTGGGCGCCGAGCAAGCGCGAAGTTGTCGCCTCTCGTGAGGTGTTCTAATAACTATGTGAGAGTAAATCAGCTGAGACGATTGTGCGCGACGCGTTGCTTTCCGGCAATGGGCGCAAATTCAAAAAAAGGTGACCCGTTCTGATTGGTTACGCAGATCACTTTTAAAAGCATGGCGGACTTCGAGTTCGTCCTGCCTTTGACAAAGGACCTACTCCTGAGAGCCGAGCGTGTCGGCCACTATTATGTCAAGGACGTGGTTCCAGCTCAGGAGATCGGAGCCCAGGTTCGAGGTACGTAGTGCTACAGTGAACTGCTCTATCCATTCAACGCGGTTTGATCCGCGCAGCTGCTCTTTGAGTCACCTTACCTGCACTGTTTTTGTTTTGTTTTTCCTCGCTTAGGATTTCTCTCCAAGAAAAGGCTCCTCGACACCAAATGTGTGGTTGATTCCTTCGATCTGCTTTACAGCGTTATGACGTGAGTCATAAACATCCCATTCCTCTCGTGAACACGCGTTTTCGAAACTAGCCCTAGTTGACGCCTCTTGTCAATATGCAGGAACTTTCATTCTCTCGACGAGAACGTGATACAAGATGCGTTTGACCTGGCACTCTTGGGTAAGTACTCTAGTCGGCGCTAATTCGCTTACGTCGGGAATGTCTGTGCCTGTCACCGCGACTTCTCGTGCTTTCGCAGGTGTTTCGAAGGTTGAATCGGACTTGACGATACTGCTGCGAGATCCTGACGCGTCTTTAGATTTCGACACCAAGAAACAGGCTCAGAACCACCTCAAGATGTCCTGCTACGTACTCTGTCACCTCATGGAGCTTGTTGAAGATGAATCCAGGAAGCCGTCGCTGGACGTGACCGCGAGTGCGACAAAGGTGCCTGAAAGCGATTCAGAATCGTTATGTGCTAAATTGTGTCATCCGTGTTGTTTCGTTACCATCTGGCTACCGCTGTTTGTGTGGGGTAAGAAATCTGTCCCTGTTACGGCATTATAGACTGGCACAGCACTGGACTAATTTGTGCTGTGAAGTGTGTTACACGGGTTACTAGCGCTTTAACTTGGAAATTGATTCACCATAGCGGGAGGAGTTGGCCAGAAGACCGTGAAGTGAACATAATTGTTTCGTAATTGGTCTTCATAGTTCACGCCCATGAATGTGCAAAGTATGTTTTGTGTGTGCCTCGCATTAGATTGACCAAATTTTGCGCCCCGCCCCGGTGGTCTAGTGGCTAAGGTACTCGGCTGCTGACCCGCAGGTCGCGGGATCGAATCCCGGCTGTATTTCCGATGGAGGCGGAAATGCTGCAGGCCCGTGTGCTCAGATTTGGGTGCACGTTAAAGAACCCCAGGTGGTTGAAATTTCCGGAGCCCTTCACTACGACGTCTCTCATAATTTTGTGGTGGTTTTGAGACGTTAGACCCCACATATCAATCAATCAACCAAGTTTTGCATGAAATCAGAGGCTTCATTCTTTTATCATGCCTTCACTTGAAAAAGTTTGTTTGGCATGAAAGCTGACTTGGAGATTTTTTGTGTAGAGCATGCCTTGTATTCTTGGGAGGGTTACTCATACTTTTTTCAAGCATTTCACGTATCTTTGATAAACCTATTAATAGGGATTTCATGTTAGAAAATATTGGATTTAAGCTGTCAGGTTTGTCTTGTCAAGAAAATGTCAATCACAAAGTTTAGCATATTTCAATTTCTTGCATAGAAATACTGAGTTGTATATTTGGTTTAAGGTTTTATGTCAGCTAAGCTTCTGGATTTAACAACCGACTTTGAAGTATTCAGGCAGATAGTTAATGCAAGTTGGTAGAGGTTGGGAAGTTCATTAGTTCATCTCCCGAGATTAAATCATTGCCTTGTTTGTGCTAACCTAGCCTGTTCTCGCGTGCACGCTTCCCTAAATTACCTACATATGCAGGATACTTATTAAAAAATTGAAAACTTTTTTTCATTGTCTCACCCTGAGTTCAATTCGTTGTGACAGCGTTTGCCAATGAATGATAGTTGTAGTGACAGCTTTGCTCAATACGACATGCCTTTTATAGGAATGATGGAGAGAGATAAAGCAAATTTTATTTTTTTGCAAAGGCTGACACTCATTGAAGGGGTTTGTTCTTTTATGTTGTCTTTATTGCAGGGTCGCAAAAAAATGGCTGCAAATAACGGGAAGTTTCTCGAGTGGGCGTCACAGAAGCTGAAGGCTGTCCAGTGCCTCAAGAATATACACGAGCTGTCGTTGCAGTGTTTGTGGTCACCGCAACCCGTTGAAGACGAGTATATCAAGTGAGTCAAAGGTTGGGTGTTTCTTGACACTCATCATCCTTAACGTTCTGCTGCAAAGAATGCGAGGCTGCGAATTCGATTCTCGACAGTAGTAGCTGCATTCTGACGCTGTCAAAACGCAAGAACGTTCGTGTAATTGCATTCAGTCCACATTAAAAAACTAGACAGATGATGAAAGTCAATCAGAAAAGAAAGTGCTAGGGATTACACTGTCTCTCAGGAAAACATCTGTCGCTTCCTTTGCCAAATAAACAAATCAAAATGCAAGTGCAAGGCAGCTGAGAGCCTCTGGGACATTCTATGACCAACAGAAAATTTATGAAAAGTGTCAGTACTCATGCTGATGGATAGGCTTGTAACGATGTTTTCAAATTGGCACTAAAGACCATGTCTAAAAACATAAAAAGTGCCCATGCTATTGTTAGTGTTTCTTTTTCGTTCTCATTCTTTGTGCTGCTCAAAGAACACCATCAAGATGAACCAATTCTTGCAAATCAAGATGTTTACTTTACTTATTTATTACATACTGCAGACCCTTAGGCCCAAGCAGGTGGGCAGTTACAAGGGGACATAGTCGAACAATAAGTGGCATAAAGATTGTTTGGGGTGAGTGTTTCATACACTGATAGTGAACACAAGGAGCGACATAGCAAATTATTTCTTAATGACGCATGTACCGGACAAAAGAGAAAAAAATACCTAAGATTCATACTTCATATGATGTGGGATTAAAGTAAAAATAAATACATAACAAATACAAAACAATAAACACAATTATTTTCACCGTTCAAGCCAAGAAAGCAATAAATACTTAAGTATACAATAAGTACAGCACATACAAGATGAAAAAGAAAACAAAAAAGAAAAGAAAAACGCTGTAATAAAAGATCGGAAACCTGAATTTTCAGGACAATGCTATTTAGAGCGAAGAAGAAATAGATTCTCTGAGGATACCCGAGTTGTTCCGTTCCAATCTGAGACTGTGCGTGGAAAATATGAGAACTTATAAGCGTCTGTCCTGCAGAAATAGGGTGTTAGAGATTTGGCGTGATGATACCTTGTGGGTCTGGTTGATAACGATTTCAGGTACGGCGATGGGTCAATCACAAGTTTGTTGTTCAGAAGAAGAGAAAGAAGGTCAATTCTTATCTGTTTTCGACGTGTGCTAAGAAGGGAAATGCCGTTGGCCTTCATTATTTCAGAAGGAGAGTCGACTCGTGAGAACTTGTTAAAAATGAACCGGACGGCTTTCCTCTGTATTCTTTCCAGGCACTTGATGTTAGTTTGAGTGTATGGGTCCCATACTGCACTCGCGTATTCTAATTTTGGTCTTATTAAAGAATAATAGGCCAGTAATTTAATATTGCTTGGGGCATTATGAAGCTTATGTTTTAGAAAGCAGAGCTTTTTGAATGCAGAGGAGGAAATAATATTTATATGTTCATTCCACGATACGGTAGTTGTTATTGTAACACCTAAGTATTTATAGCTATCGAGTTGCCTAAGTGGCAAAGAACCAAGCTGGTAAGTAAAAGACGGGGGTGCTTTTTTACGCATTATAGGGAGCAGTACTGTTTTATCGGCGTTCAGAACAATTCCCCATTTTTCGCACCACTGCAATACGTTATTTAAACTGCTATATAACTCAACCTGATCATCGAGATGAAAAATTTTTTTGAATAATACGCAGTCATCTGCAAATAATCGACTTTGAACACCAGGACTTACTACGCTAACAATATCATTAATATAAACCAAGAAAAGCCGGGGGCCTAGGACACTGCCTTGTGGCACCCCTGAAGTGACTGCCAAACTTTCAGAACGTTTACCTATGATGTGCAAGCGAAGTTTCAGTCATCGTAGCAGACAAGACGATTTTCTATGCACCCTGAACAGGTGCAAATGACTTTGTAGACACCAAAGGTCCTATTCATTCTCTCTTTCCTTTTTTTTTTTTGGATCAACCAAATCTTAACCATGTTTGCCTATTTGGCAGACTACTTTAATTCGCTATACTTTAGCCTACCTTGACTGACATATGAATCTATGTGTGCCACCAATTAAAATTCACTAGACTAGCCTCACGGCACCTGAAAATAAAATGAAAAAAATTTAAAATTGGGTAGAGTTTCTTTCATAGCAGGAGCACTACATTCAATGCATTTACTGATGGGTGACTACTTCAAAGGTGACAAACATGTTTAGTTGCTAGGTAAGCACAAGCCATTCGATTTTACAGACTTAAACTTGCAAGACCGCTAATAGGACTTGAGGATGCAAAGAAGTCATTGCATGGAAACGTACTATTGCCACGTTTCAGTAGTCACTTTGACTAGTTCAGCTGTATATTAATATATTGGTTTGTGCAACAAGAAAGAAGATGGCAGATGATCAAATGTGCTGTAGTCGGTGCTAATTTAATGTGGCCCGAATCACGGTACAGGCACAGATAAAATTGCGAGGACCATGGCACCAGTAATAATTTTTTCTTGCACAGCTCCACAGCATAGAATTGCTTGGATGTGTTGCATTGGTTGGACATGCATACTTGAACTGGAGAACGAGACTTCAATCAGCATACTTGGGCACCAAGAACAAAGATCTTTGTGGCACCAATTGGCTCGTAAACTTTCACCTCTGATTTCTTAAAAAATTTTCTTTGATTGATTGATATCACTGTGTGTTGAGCAGCAATGTACCATAGCCATTGATACACCACAGCAAGTCAAATGTATATAGCGAGACTGCCCATTATCATCAAATCAAGAATTAGTTGGCTGATATTTAGTTCTAGTGCAGTCAAGTATGGTTAGTCAAGTGTGCCTTGACATCGTCTACACGTTTTTTTTTCCCAGTCTGGTGGCTGACTGCTTCTTCAAGCTAATAGAAGATGCTGGCAATAATAAGTCTAGCACAATCAAGGATGCATTCACCACGGTGATTGGCCTGAACATCAAAAGGCACGGCTACTCTATTGGTGAGTTTATGTGCTGGTACTGCTTTGTAATTGGCGATTGCATGCACGGCGTCATTGAGAAAAAAGTACAGGAGTGCTGGATGGAAGTGGGCCAACAATAATGACGCTGTTGTTGGCATCTTGTAAAAGCATCGCAAAAGTGTGGAAGTCATGCTACTGCTTTCTTAGTTTTGTCACATAAACATGTCATATAGAGGGGACAATGAACCGAAAAAAGCAATGTTCTCTATTGAATTACTGAGTGAACATTGTTTTCATTCAGGAAACTATGCCACTTGTAGTGGTCAAAGTAACAGTGCATTTGATTGTCATCAAACTTAATCTACCAATTGGAATCTGTCTGTAAATATTTATCAAGTATTTAGGTTCAGCAGGTAGATAGCATGATTTTGTAAGCTACTAAATTTTTTGTCTTCTCAGAGCATACTACGCATGTGCTTATGAGAACATGTCGGGGAGGTTTCTCAGATGTCATGGAAAGCTGGAAACCCAAGCTTAGAGATGTTCTTGGTTTCAAGATTCGCTGTAATTTTATTTGACTTTGCTTTCTTTACATCAATTCATAAAGCTGTGAAATTATGGGATGACAACTCGTCGGTCATTAATGAAAACCATTGCTACAGTGCGTGCCCCAAGCTTGCTGCAGTACATTCTGAAGACATTGCACTCAAGCAAGGTGTCTCATTTTCGCAGGATGTGTCATGAAAATAATACAAGTGCTGCAAGCTCAGGAGCACGTGGCATCCTTCCTTGCCGAAGTCCTGTTGATCTTTTCGGAGAAGTTTGGCATGAAAAGCATTGTTGGCGACTGTATCAGGTAAGAGAGATTTCAGCCTCGCATTTCTTTTTTCCAAGTGTATATTGACTTGAAAATTGTGGTTTTTATTGTTTTGTTAGCTTTAAGAAACAGAAGGTAAGGCAATTGAAGCTTCTCCGGTTATTTTTTATTGCTTTCTTTTAATTCAGGATTTGTCCAAAGTCCATGATATTTTTCTGTCGAACGGAAAAAGACCCATCATGCTGGTTCCCAGTGTTAACCTCAAGGGTCAAAGAGCGATGAGACATTGGCTCCACTTGCTGTCAGATATCCTAGACTGTGTTTTTACACAGCCTCTCGTAGATGGCACCATGGGAATATGATGGACTGTTTTTGCACAAGCTGCTTATGGAGATGCAGGGAGTGCGCTGTAAACACTAAGTGAGCAGTACTGTGTTATGTAATAATGCGGTTTCTGCACGAGTGCTTAGGAAAGCTCTTGGCCTTGGTAATTCGCAACTTAATTTAGAACCCTCTGCAGTGGTACTTGTTGCAGCCTCCGTGTTTCTTTGGCACATCAACTATTACTAGTGAATTAACCATTAAAAAAATTAGATTTTCGAACTACAGTGGAAATTCGATTATACGTCACCTGGTTTCGCGACGACCTGCATTTTACGACAAATCGGTTAGGACCCGGCAAAATCCCCATAGGAATAATGTATTAAAAACCTTGGTTATACGACGCAGGTTCACGCCGACCCGCATCTTATGACGACATTCAGATTTCGTCGAAAAGAAAAAAGAACACGTTTACTTAAATCAAGCATGGACCAAATATTCACGAGTGCAAAATATAAACTTGCGTTCCCCTAGGTTGACGATTAGAAGATTAGAGAGAAAGACAGATGTCTTCTTAGAATGGAAAATTTATTCTCCTGGAAGTTCATGCACTTCTACAAACGCCGCAATCGCATGTGCACGTATCTGGGGTCGTTACCTAGTCGAGCTCTATCCATACAAAGTAGCTCCAGCCGGTCGAAAAGTTGATATTTTCAGGTTTTCGGTCCGTGAAAACATTTTCTGGTTCACATACATGTGATCTCCTGCCTTTATCGCAGTCATAGTCACTGGCTTGCGGACGAATAAGGGCGCGACGCAGCTGTTTTCACTGTGAAAGATTACTTTGACTTGACGTCGACGTTCATAATAACAACGGGACATCACTAGTTGCACTTCACAAGGCCACAAATTACAACGTGCATTGCTCAGTCACACACAAAGGCATTCTACGCACATTCGTGGTCAGTCGCCATTATGTAATAGCGATGACACTGTGTTCTCACTCTTCTGAGGGGAGGACTATTGGCAACACGGTTTCAGTTTTGTTTTCATGTGCAGGCAATTTTGAACTATTTATCGGTAGAAAGATGCGCGTTAGATTCCATTCTTTTTAATCCTGAGAATAGAAATTCGCTCACACCTCTTTCAACTAAGTTACGCTGCCATTAACTGTCGCTGGCAAGAATAATTTAATCTACCTTTCTAGCAGAGGCACAAGGTCGTGCCGTCGGCTTATTCAGGCGGTCTATACCCATTTTTTGGGGCAAGGCTGAGTGTCATTGCTATATTCTTAGTCTTTCAATTATACGACGCCCGGATTATACGACGGTATTGAGTGGTCCCCTGAAAGTCGTATAATCGGGGTTTCACTGTAGCTTGCTGTATGGACCACTCGTTATTTCACTACTGAGTTTCGTATATGTAACAAACATTGGTGTTCGGACAAGCTTACTGATTGGACTGGAATATAAAATGTTGCGGGCCTTGAATTGCATTCACTCTTAAAGGGGTTTGTGTTGCGGGTATACAGTAGCGGTTTAAAGAGCTAAAGACAAGAAGCTAGGCACATGGTGTTGGTTCTCCGTGTGATTACGTCCATTGGCACGCCTGTCTTATGCAGAGAACTGTGCCGACTGGATTCCCTGGAGAACGCGCAGGACTGTGGCGGCATTCGGAACCTGGCCACGTTTCTCGTTGAGCTCACAGACAAGATGCCCGAGTTGGTCACTAAGTCGGCCGGGTTGCTCGTCGAACTGCTAAATGTCAAGGTGTTTGTTTGTTACTTTTTTATTATTATTGAGATATGAACACTCTTGCTGGATTTTGATGCCGACGTCGACAGTCACCGTCGTTCACCGTATATGTATACGTATCTATATATACTAAAACACAAGAAAGAAAAATAATCCACAAAAAGACTTCGGCGCGCACCACCACGCTCTTTGAGTGAACGAAGATAGCGGACACGGTTGAAAGAAACCAAACCAAACACACATTTATTTAGGTACTTTTTGATCGACGATATCGTCAGCCGAATTATTATACAACAATTGTAATTAACACGCCTAAGACATCCATAAACATTATTAACGTACACTCAACAACATGACAAACAAGGCGGTGTCGCTAACGCCTGACTCACCACGTGGGCCCACCGCAGGCGGCTCGTGGTGCCGTCCACAGCAGACCTGCTGCTGGAGGCAACCCTTTGCGCTGCCGCCCCACGCCACAAGAGACTCGCTAAACTCTTTCTGCCGTTACCAAGGCTTGCCTGCCGCCAGGGGTCACCGCCGGCGCTACCACTGTAACAACCATCATGATGATAGCTGTGATCTACGCTCGCGAACACACCACCTATCGCTCAATAGTTGTGACCCTGAAATACGGCTTCTGCACGGGACACGTGCGCCACGCGGCGCAAACGACTCTACAGGACGTGTCAGCAACCTCATATTATATTTACCACTGACTGCTGGCGATGCACATCTTGGAAGAACTATCATTTTCAGCATTACCAGAGAGATGGCGTAATGAGCGCGCGGCACTCCTGTGCGTACTTTGTCCCATGGAGAGGAGGGGGGGGGGAGAGGCTCACGCGTGCGCGCGCTTATCTTGTGCTGGGGAGAATTGTACGCCTTGAGCTTTCACCGGAACGATTCTGTTGTGATTACCAGGCGCACAAAGGTCATTGCGCTCGCCGCACAGTCTCTGTTTGCGAAAAGGGCGCACTTTTCAGAAACAGTGAAGTAACAACTGAGACGCTTATTCGTGTTCATCTGTACATGTGAGCACGTTTCGTGCGTCATTTGTGCGTGAGCGATGCGGGGCACGTTTCAGTCTGTTTGCCATTCTTCGCATGGCATTCAAATTTGTTGCTACCGCATTCATTGCTTTGCATTAGCGGCAAAGCTTCGACTTTTTCTGTTCCCTATTCCTTTCCTCGATTTTTTTTTTAAATATTCGAACATAAATACAAAACTAAGCTTGTAATCCAAAGTGGAGGTTTTTATAGTTATATTTCGTTTTTCTTTCCTCTACCTTTCTACACTCTGTTGTGCCACAGTGGCCACAAGATTCTGCTAGACTATTACCAAACCAGTGTCGGCAAATTTTCTCAGCTAGGCTACCATGGAAAGTGAATAGTGAAACTAGAAACATGTATCGACATGGGACTTGGTTGACCGGAAGTGGCGTAATAGAAATTGAGGGCAACCCACCATCCTTATGGCGGTAGTGCAACTCTGGCGACAGTGTGACCTATTTGACAAGGGAGCAGTTGTAGAAGCAGCTCTGCATTAGCCCACATGTTCGGGTATCGCGTGATCTCCACAAGCCTTTGCCAAAGCTTTTTGAAGGGCGTGCTTTCTTTTCTTGTGCATATGGCTGCCGTATTTGTTCTTCTAACATTGGTGCTAACTTTATAGCGATTTTATGTTTGTATTTAATCCTTCAAGAAGCTTTCATAGAGACCAAGATGACATTTTTAGTTTGGTGATGTTTTACAAATGTGCCGAATACAGTCATGTAAGAAAACTTCATTCGTAACTTTTCTTTTTGGACAAATATTACTAGATCAAAGATCAACCATCAGATGCAAGTGCGAGTTGTTTGTCCCAGATTTGTCCGTGTGCAGTTACCTAGCCTGAGCTTGACATTTTGTATTACTCGTTTGTTTTTTTCCAGAGCTACACTATACGAATAGCAGTTTTGACAGTTTTCTTCAAGATTGTGCTTGATGTCCTAAGCAAGGAGGGGCTGGATGACAAAGAAAAGGAACTGAGAGACGCCCTCCTTGACCATCTTGAGGTTTGTTCTTGATGCCAGAAATCCTTAATGCCAGAAGTACAACTAGGATATGCCAAGAAGAAAACGACTTTCTTTGTATTGACAAATTGAGCTTGTACAATACGAAAAATACTTTCCTTCTCCAGAAAAATGCTCAGTAAGTCATAAAGCGTATAAAAAAAAAAGCAGATGGCTATGCATCTAAAAAAGTCGTGAGATGACGAGAATTGCAGCTTGTGCACTGCTTTTATGCAAAAAGTCGTGGGATCTCAGGTTCTTTCAGTAAATAAAGGTAATTCAGAATTGCAAATTTTTGAGCTTGTTTGACATCTTGGCTTAGAAGAGTGCAGAAACTGTTTTGAAGAAAAAGTGTCGTAAGTGTCAAAAGTTTCTTTTTGGAGTAAAGGGACAAATAAAGATGTGTTCATAATAGGCATGTTCTACATGCTGAAACCATGTAAAGGTGTGTTGATGAAGTACCTACACGTTTGTTTATTTCATAGTCCTGATAATTTCATGTTAAGTCTATTTTAACATTTTCTAGATCATTTAAAATCTCAGTGAGCCACATATTACTGTGCAGATTTTCGTTATGAGTGTGTCTTTGTTAACAGCAATGTACGAAAGAATTTAGTGTTTACGCTATCTTATCTGATGGTTCTATTCCCGCTGTGGTGGTCTAGTCGTTATGGCGCTCGACGGCTAGCCTAGAGCTCGCTGTGTCGAATTCCGGTCCCGCAGATGTAATAGATAAGGGTAAAATTCCAGAGGCCTGTGTTCTGTAGATCTAGGTGCACATTAAAAAAAAAAAAGTGGTGTAAATATTTGGAGCACTTCGCTACAGCGGCATCTTTCATGATCGTATTGAAGATTTGGGACATCAAACATATGGGGTCTCAAAATGAGAGCCCACTCTTGGAAGACACAGCTGAAGGGGTCGGGTCGGATCATACCGAAACATTGTGTAAATTTATTCAATTGCTTGTACATTGACGATATCTTCAGCTGAATCAAGTACATCATTAGTGATCAATACGCTAAGTGCAACCTTTTACAATATTCAAATACTCTTAATCAAACATAAGAACAAACACAAAGTAACGTGAAGGTGGCGTTGGCTACACTTGACTCGCCACAAGGGGCCGACGGGAGAAAACCATTTGCGCCAGCCGCCACACATCAAGGAGACTCCCTAATATTTTCTGTCCGAACACCTAGCCTCGCTGCCAGGCGTCGCTGCTGGCATTACCGCACTAACTGTAATGATAATTATGGTGAAGATTTCAGGTGAGCGCTTCGCCACCTACCACTCAGTGGCGGTAGGTGCGGCTTAACCCTAACACGTGTGGACCATGAGGTGCACACAACATTACAGGGGGTGATAGCAACTCCACAAACACCATCAATTATTATTATAGTTAGTTTATCTTTGTTGTGTTAATGTTCAGTCTGTGTTCGGGTACAATTTTAGAAGCCTGCAGAATTTTAGTCTCAAAGGCCTATGCACTCATGGGTGTGCGCTCAAGACAGGCGTCATGAGCGGGACGACTGGTGTGCTTTGCTGAGTACATCAGTCGGACTAGCATTTGTTTAGTTGCAGAGACGATCAGCTGCCGTGCTTCCATCATCTGGGTGGGGTTTCTGCAGACTGTAGCCTTTGACTCCCATGAGGAAGTAGTGTTGGTAATCTTTCTCTTCGTTCTTCTCCAGGGACACATTTTGGACGAGAACGCGTTTGTGCGCAGCAAGGCGTTGCAGCTGTGGCAGGACATGTGCAACAGGAAGTGCATCCCACTGGACAGGCAACAGACTGTGCTTGAGCTCATCGCCGACAGGCTGTGCGACAAGTCAAGCGTCGTCCGAAAGAATGCCGTCGGTTTTGTGTCGTCCTACATGGCCAGCAGTCCTTTCATTGCCAAGGTACCGTGATGCCATTGGTTTATAAGGATAGACTCTCGTTAAACGGAACCTGAAGGGACAAGGAAAGTGTGTTCCGTATAACAGGAGTTCCGTTTACCAAGAGATGAACAGTGGTGCAGAATTCAAATACTGGACGAATCATACTAGAGGTAGTGATGGGCGAACAGAAGGCTGAGGTTTGAAGCAAACCGAAGCGAATAGAGGTTTGGTTGAATAATTCCGAAGTGAATAGATCGAATGGTACTCCATAAACACCCGCGTATAGTCCGAACCCACCTACCGTTCGAGGGGTACTTCTGGGATAGCAAACGGAAGAAAAAAAGTTTTCACTTTAATATAGCTTGAGCAAAGCAGAAACTAAAATCATTTATTTGCACACTTATTCATCATTGTCTGATGCACTGTATTCCAAAACTTTCTAGTCATAATGTCCACCCACAATACCTCATCTTCAGTGCCATCAAGGGCGTTCGAAATTGAGCACTACTTAAATGCATGACAAAAAGCGCTTTGGGAATGCAGACCCGAGCTTTGGTAATCCACGTGCACGGCATCGTTGGCGAGGCCCATTTCGGTCGTATGGCAGGGATCGCTTCCAGCCCTCATTCACTCCATATATTGTATTTACTCGCGTAATGAACGCACTCGCATAATAAACGTACCACCAACAAAATTTTGATCGTTCTTTTCCCCGCGTATTAAACGCACCCCCTACAATCATCCGCTGCCGTCCCGCTAACCCACACCTGGCGCGTCCTTGCCCGTCGGATCTCTTCCATTTTTGATTATTATGCCGACCCTCTTCGGTCACAGCGGCTCGCTCCCTCCCCCCTTTCACCTGCTGCCGCACGCCGTATACCTTTCTTTCTCTCTGTTCGCGGCTCGAACCCAGTCTTTTTGAATATCTGTGCGCCACAGTCGGGTGTAGAGACATAGCAGCTGACAAGCACACAGTGAGTGAAGGTCGCGGAACTTCTCGGGCCAACCGACAGTCGCTTTCTGCAAATATGAAACATTAAGGCCCAACCACATGCACCCAATATTTGAGCGACGACGACAGGAGTTGCTGTCGTGAAGGGCCATTCGTCGCCATTGCGTCGCAGTTTTCCGAAAACCACAAAGAAATCGCTTGTCACCCAGAAAAGATCATGACTATATTTCCGTAACATCCTGTCGTTAATCTTGTTATCGACGGTTCGTTTTTGATGCTTCAACGGTAGCTTGCTGCAATGTTGGTTGCCTGCTACAATGTCAACGATGTCGTAGTGGTCATCGTGTGACGTTGCCACGAAGTAGGCGAAGTGCGTCGTGACGTTGTATTGCACTCTTCTGGGCGCCCCTCGAGATCACAGCAGATATCACTGTTGCGGTTAAACGATTGTGAGAAAAGATAGCCGTGAAACGCTCTTATGGCGTTAGCGGGCGGCATGAGAACAGCTCGCAGAAGATAGCGCCTTCAACCACCGAAGATCAGTAAAGTGCAACAAAAAAGCTGAGCGAGCTAACCTTTTTTTGCATTGCCGTATTTTACTGTTCATACTGAAAAAGATTTCATGAAATTTGCCTCGCATAATACACGCACCTCCAACTTTGCTCCCATTTTTCGACAAAAAAGATGCGTTCATTACGCATGTTTGCACATTTTGATAGTATTACTGTGACAACTTTGACGAATGGCCATCTCAATCAGAAAAGAGGGCAGAGACAATATTGCACTCAGGTGCATAAGACCACGAAATACCACAGCGTCGAAAACAAGGACAGACGAAAAAGAGGGAAAACCAGGAGTGTCAACTTAAAACTGAATCTATTACAAGAAGAAGAAGAAGAATAACTTTATTTATGAAGTCCAGCGAAGTTGATTTGGGGCGGGCCTAGGCGTCGGCCACGAGCCCTTGGGCTCGGGCGGCTTCCTCGGCTCGCTGGACGGCCCACAGTTGTTGTTCGAATGAGGAGCTGAGCAGAGCCCCCTCCCAGCGTGTCCTGCGGTCCGAAACTGCCTCTTCGTGGTTTTCATCGTTGCTTTCATCTAAACTCGAGCATTCCCATAGTATATGTGAAAGTGTCGCCCTTTCATCGCAAACCTTGCATTTTTCTGTTAAATACAGATCAGGGTAACAGAGACTAAAGAGAACTGGATTCGGATAAGTATATGTTTGCAGTTGTCGCCACGCAACTGCCTGTTTTTTATTTAACCTGTTGTGTGGCGGAGGGTACTTTCGCCTTTCTAGCTTATAGTGCTGCGTTATTTCGTGGTAACTAGTCATGCGGTCCCCCCACTCCCACTCCCCCCCGCGTGGAACTTCGTCCGAGGCGGCGTCGGCGTTCGCAACGGCTCGGTTCGTGAGTGCTCGAGCCGCCGCGTGCGCCGCCTCGTTGCCGGCCAGCGGGGTTTGTGTGTGTGCGGGGGTCCATATGACGAAAGTGTCATTTTTTTTCCCGAATTTTGTCTTCGTTAGTCATTAGGATTCGCAGCGCCTCTCGGGAGACACGACCGTTCGCATAGTTGCGTATCGCTGCTTGCGAGTCACTAATTACTACTTCGGCCTCAGTGGTCGCCACCGCGAGTGCTATGGCCACCTCCTCGGCCGTCTCGGTCAGTGGCGTTTGCACCGTAACGCTCGTCATGCATGTCCCTTTACCGTCGACCACCGCGGCCACGTAACCACACCTTCGCGCGTATCTGGCCGCGTCCACGAATACCGCTTCCTTGCAATTTCCGAATTTTCTCTGCAAGTCCTGCGCTCTCTGGTTTCTTCGGCCGGTGTGATGTTCCGGGTGCACATTTTTGGGCAACGGCGGAATCACTATCTTTTCCCTCATCATCACGGTTATGTCGGCTTTTTCGCCTTGCTGCGTGTGATAGTGGATTCCCAGTTTTTCGAGGATGTACCTGCCCGTTTTAGTCTTAGAAAGTCGTTCATACTGTGCTACGTTGTGCGCTTCTATTAATTCGTCAAGCGTGTTGTATCTATTACAAAAAAAAAAAAAAAGCAGAGAAGGAAAATTACATTAGATGGCGCGCATGAGCACACACTTTCACAGATGGCCTAGCTAAATCACACCTACAGAAACATCACGTGACGTTACCTTCTTTGCTTTTGTCACCATTTAGTTGTCACCTGAAGAACTGAAGAAGAACCTTGCCGAGGAAGAGGAGAAGCTGAAAGCTTTGCGCATTTTGCACAACGACGGTGAGCAGTTTTATTGTGATGTTCATGTAATTCGCTTTGGCATATTGTCATTGAGAATGCGAGGTTCTGTGGCAATCTTGTCACTGGAGTGGATTGCAAGTGTGTCTAAATTTAGGTGCAGACTAGTGGGCTTCGCTTGTGTATATTTGTGTTACCATTACGATGATGTATTGTGGATGGAATGACCTAGTGATTAGGGATGAAGGTTTCAGTAACAACAGTCGTAGTGATGTCTTGTCACACATTTCAATAAATTTCTATTCACTATGGCCACGCGCATATCCAAAAATTTTGAATAATGAATCAGATTTGTTCAACCAAACCTAACACCAAATATTTGGTGCTTGAATTGAAAAGTGCATATTGAAAGTGCAAAAAATTCACAAATAATTAGCAATGACAAAAATGTTTAAATGAACGAGACATTGAAGCTGCAACGGGTAACTTTTTGCGTTTTTATCGCCGAATTACTAAGATGCATGCAGCCCACATACTTACAGAATTATCAACACTATATTGATCGCAGGATGTAGGCGTTTTCGCTAAAAGCTCCAGTGTCCCCGAAATGACAGCATCATCAATCCACTACATGACATGACATCGGTGCACTACTATGACATTCATGATAATGTTAAATCGTGGAACTTGCATAATGTTTATGTATGAGTTTTATTTAAAAGATGTTGACTAAGTGCCACCTTGAATACGATAATCACTGCTGTATTTTCGCCTGCAGTTACAAACTATTTCGAAGGCTCTATTCCTGCGGCAGTTTTACGTCAGTTTAAATAATTTTATTGTTAAAAGTAATGGGAATGTTTCTTACGTAAAGCCTGTGAATATTTGTTTCAAACAAATTGTTGTGGAATTTCTGGGCTGCTAAAAAATTGTTACCTTACCGGTGTAGGATTGCTCTGAACATGGTTCTCTCGCTATTTGAAAACTATTCCATCAGTATTCGATTTGTATTCGTGTTAGATTCAGTGTTGTCACCATTTAGTTAGGTTCTAAGATCCGCTGTTCGCGCACTCCTACTATTTGCCTGCACATTGAGTTGCGAGTGACTCTGAAGTATAGAGGTGCAGGTGATCATTTTATTTACATTTTCCTACCGACAGTCGAGAAACCTGTGATAGGGACATTCCATTTGATCTACACAATTTCCCAGTATAACTACTGACCCCATAAACCCACCGTATCGTATTTACTTTCATAATGATGGCACCTCTCAATTTGTCCCCAAAATTTAATTTCCTGTTCAGCCCACTGCTTATAACAGTGATGGAAGTGCTGCTCCAAACTGCTCCTAAAGAGAAATGCTGCTCCCTGGTGCTCCAAAGTGCAATACAGTCGAACCCCGCTACGAAACTGACGGGGCGCGGAACAAATTTTGTCGAAGCAAAAGTTTCGCTGTAGTGAAATTGAAAAAATATATATCGCCGATACTGAGCTAGCAATACAAAGGAACGTTTATTCTCAAAATTCAAAAAATGTCCGCTGCTTCCTATTCTTTCCCAGCAGCGTCACGACGTGATTCTCACCCATGCATAGCGAGGCCATGGTGAAAAGTACGCTGAAACAACGCCTATACTGCTTTCATGAACGAACTGAACAGTTGCATTAACACGTTAACACCAGCAGCTGTCCCCCGCCAAAAGTATCCGACAACGCCGGGATGGAGGCAGGGTATCGTGGAGCGGCGATGGCAACTTTTGCATTATTCTATGCCATTCTTATCATCCATCACTCGCGGCTAGCTGATTTTGTTGATAATGCGGATGAACAGCAGCTCTGATTAGTTACCACACTGTCCAAGCGTCAACATAATGATAAGCATCGGAATTGGAAAAGGCACCGTGCCGCGGTTGCACCCAGCAGCTGCGAGAAGGAAACCGTGAACTACAGTCTTCTAGAAGGGGGTAGTGGGATCAGGGAGAGCGCGCGGGTGTGACATCTGACGTAGACGCCGCGAAATGGCGCAACCAGCGCGTCGGTTGTACGGAACGCGAAACGCAAAGCCTCGGCAATGCAGGAGAAAGCCTTGTGCGCTTGGTGTTTCACCGAAAAAAGGAAGCGCGGAGTTATTTAGCATGTTTTTGAAAACTTTCTCTGAGTTAAGACAAGCGCAGAGAAACCTGAACAGGCGAACGTTCTAGGCTAGGGTGAAAATAAAGCTGAGCCAACAAGTGCAGAAACGGGCGCAGGACGATGCGGCCGATTGGTAAACTGAAGGCTCGCAAACACTGTAAAGGTTAAAATTTGAATGGTTGAATTATCCATATCATTTGCCATTGAAAATTGTCATACGTTAGGTCTCAATCGCATTCACAAGTACGATTAAGCCGAGCAACTCTGGCGCCACATGTACTAACACATTCGGAACATAAGCCCTATATCAATTTCATTACGAGCTGGTTTCGTTTACGTTTGTACATATCCACTGAGAGCTTGAGATTTAATTATTTTCAAGAAGGTGCCGCTATGGCGCGGCTGTAGTAGTTACCCGAGATAGCGAAGTTTTATGATGTAGTAAAAAAATAAAAACAAGACTAGCAACAAAAAAACTTTATTACCACTAAAAACCACAGTGTTCTCAAAGTACAGTGGCTGCAATGAGAGAGGCATTAAGAGCAACGGCTGACCTTCGCACTGCAATTTCTTTTCACGCCATTCATTGTCGCGATTTGTTGAGCCTTTTTACATAAAAATGCAGGATGGTCAGCACATAGAACTTGGTCAACTCTGTCGTGAGCGCATCTGGATGCTTGCTGCAACCTAGGGCATCACAAAAGTTTTCATTCACCAGCAACATCACATCCACTGTGGTCTCCCTGCAGAGTATCTCTTGGCTGAAAAACGCAGTGAAGATTTCTTAACTGTCCTAACGAGGCTCCTGTGAGGGAAACAACAACTCCCCTTATGACATATCACAGTGAACTCAGTGTTTCTGTTTTCCGTATGAGGGCTTCCAAAAGAAGGTTCTTGCAGTCATAACGCTTCAGACACATAATTTCGAGCAACATAACCTGCCATATAATGTGTTAGACGGTCATCGCTATTCTGCTCTACAAGCTCTCTGTGCTCTGCAGGAATACTTCGAAACATGCGTTCAGCTGATACTAGGGTCCCTTTTTCAATCAGATGGTCCACTGCAGAAACCCTGGCTTGCTGAGCAGGAGGATCTTGCGCACACTGGAGGGAACTATTGTTGTACCAGCTCCGTTAATGTCAACTTTCCCCGAGCGTACAGTCTTAGCAAGGTTATAAAATTACAGGCAATTAATGACAATTAGGAATTGCGTGGGTCTAGGTTGATTGCTGGGTGCGTTCACCTGTCCGTGCGTGCGGCCGTCACAACAAGCGCGCGAAGCACCAGCGGCAGCCACGCCAGCCAGTCCACGCGACCACAGCGTCGCCACCAGCATCCGGGTCTCGTCCGTACTTGCCGACCCGCTTCAACGCGTAGGGCGCTCCGGCTGCTGATCCCGCTACCCTCTTCTAGAACACTGTACATGAACTGAGCGACAAAGCTTCAGTTTTAAATCGTCTGCGGCTCAAAAGCAAGCCAGTGGCAAGACAAAAGCAGGGCAGACTCATTGCCGTCATTATCGAGCAATGGCGGCGCTCATGCTTGCTGAGTAGCGGTGGTATAGCGGCGGTTTCTGGTAGTGCCAACGCGTGTTGTAGACTTCGTTGACGCATTTTCAGGCTCTGAAAATGCATCGAAATGTTAAAGATTGGGTTCACTGCATAGTAATAAGTATCTGAGCCTGGAATCGCATCCTAAAATTTCGTTGAAACGGGACGATCGAAGAAAAAGTGTTCGTTGTGGCGACAATATTTATGCATTGACTCCTATGGACTGCTGACGGGAAATTGTGAATTTTTCGTTGTAGCGGAAATTTCGTTGAAGCGGCATTCGTTGTAGCGGATTTCGACTGTATTTACTAGTAACTGCTCCAAACCTGCTTCAAAATTGTGTTGGCAAACTAAAGAGAATGAATTTGAACCATGGGAACCATCTCGTGAGCCTAAGCGAAACCAAAAGCAAGTTGTAGAATATCATCCTAGTATGCTGCTCAGTCGCATAAATCTAGAAAAATTACAAGGGGTAACACATATCAGGTCACATTGACCAATTTGTATTTTTAATATGGGTCGTATTTTTATTTATATAAGAATTTATATGCTTTCAAATAGAATTAAAAAAAAAAGCAAGCATCGGGTCCGAGCTCGAGCATTTGCATTGTTCTATTCAGTCTCTTTTTATTCACCTTTTTGCGACTTCCATAGTTCACACAGCTCAGGGGTATCTAACACAGCTACGCAGTGAGATAAAAAGCCTTTTAAAAAGTTGATTGCACTATACTTAACAAGGTGTTAACTCTATCATACCACATGCTAAAGCTAAATCTCAAGGGGGACACTTGCAAGGGCTGTCCTCCCCAGCCTGAACACAAGAAAAGTCCGGACTCCCTTGACCTTCACGCCCCCCCCCCCCCCCCCCATGATTTATGCGAGTGATGCTACTATACGGCTTGTATACTAGCTGTATACAAGCATACGGCACGTATAGTAATAGATATGAATATTTATTAGATGCTTAAGTGATGTTTCAGACTTTTGTGTCATTAGGAACACGCATCTGCTCCAAATACACCAACAGCAACCCTTACCTATATCATTCTTCATTCTTTCTGCTTTGGAGGCAGTTAAGTCTGCTCCAAAGCACAATTTTTCTGCTCCAAAATATGCTCCAAAAAGCAAAATGTCGCTTCCAGTCAGTGTTATAATAATTGCACCTGTAACTTACTGCTGCAGCAACCGCACTAGCGATGCAATATGTTCGTCATGTGGTGTTGTTAGTTTGATTCTTGCGCATGGCAGCTGCACTTCGATGAGTGCTTTGATGGCAGAATGCCTGCATATTTTGTGTTTGTGCATACATAAAAAGACCCAAGGTTGTAAAAATTTATCCGTACTTCTCTACTACAGCGTGCCATCTGAATGTATTAGTGTTTTAATTTTTGAAACGTCGCAATGCAGTCTCTTTTTTGTTTAGAGCTCAGCGTCTGTTGTCTGCATATCTCGTAATGATTTGCAGGTTTTGTTAATGGGAGGGGTAAGCAGCTCCCCTTAGCTTTGAAAAAATGAATTGATTGACTCCACACATCGGTTGCCTGAACACTGCTTCGTAGTTCTTCACCTAGGGTGTCTGCCAATGAGAAGGAATAAACAAATGTTTATCTCCTGTTTATTGGGCAGCAGTAGTCAGTGCCACTGCGCTGCTCATGGTAAAAAAAAAAAAGGGAACGCAGCTTAGCATAATATATTATAGAAACAATAAATAGACTTAGGTTGTGCCAGCTATTTTATCGCTCATCCGAAACCTAATGACAGCTGGAGTGCTCGTGCAACTGCGGCATGGCAGTACGTGCAGTCGAGTGATTCTTGCTGTGTGCAGTGGAAGACGAAGAACAGGAAGATGAAGCAGATGCGTCGTGGATGGGAATCTTGCCAGGCCTGCAAGAGGTGCTCCAGGAGGACGAAGTTAATATCAACGGCCTATCCTTGACCAATGAAGAAAGCGTGTTGCTTGACGAGTGAGCCAAGTTTTTACTCTGATTTCCGTCTCGCTCCTCACAGGATACGTTCAGAGACCTGCAGTGTATTGCGAACCTAAGTGTGCAAAGGCCAATTGTTTTTCCTAAAACGCACTGTCATTTGTTTCTCCGCATGTTTCACTGGCCACACTAACATCTTGAATGTCTCTATGGCATGACTTGCACTGACGGTACAGCGGCCATTAGACTTTCCAAACTCACCCGGCTAGTCGTAGTGCACAATGGCACTACCACCTGCTACGTAGCGAATCGCTACCTTGTTTGTCCCTCCCCGAGTGTTGTTTTAAGATGTCAAACCGGTCAAGCTAGAAATTCTCACTTGATAAGGGTTTGTAACTAGCATTGACCTCTCACTAAAATCGATGGTTCACTGAATCTTGTTTTTCGCCTTCACATTGCAAATGCTTTTTCAGGATTCTGAATCAGATACGAGCACTACTCAAGAACGGCAGCTGCACGGAGGCCGTTAGAGTGCTCAGGAAGGCAATCGCCACATATCCGGACGTGAACCTCTTCTGCAATCCGACTGCCAACGAGGACAGCTCGTGAGTGCTTGCACTGCCTTCACGGCTGTTGTCGACGTGCTTGTGTTGCATCTCCGACTAAGTATTCATCTCGTATTTTGTTTGTTTGTTTGTTTTTCCTTCTTAGAGAAGACAAGGAGGCTGAAGAGAACGGTGTCAAGAACAATACAGATCAGGTCCTCTTGAATGTGCTGAAGAAAATTTATCATGGTATGTAGGATGTGTCACTGTTTACTCTTTCAGTGGGTAAGCTAAGAATATCCTGTCCTAACTTTACGAAGCTTAGTGTACCCCAGACTAAGTGAGCACTGAACTAATCTAGTGAGCTCAGTTTTACTGTCTAGATCTAAATTTCTATTGCATGCAAAATGCCTTCGAATGTTTCATCTTTGTTGCTAGTGTAGGAACACACTTGGTTTAATATTGGTAATTTATTGGTGCCCTCAAGGCCCAAGGCATTGCAGAGCATAGTGATTATAATGCAACAGATGAAAAAAAAAAAATAAAATAAAAAGTAGAAGCATGATTCTGTGTTATATAATTATATCTAATGCGGTATTTACTAGCAAATATAAGATGCGAGTATTACAGGACAATTGAACACATTTTTGCTAGCCGTAGTATACAATGTTTGTTTAGTTATTATGAAAACAAGCATTGTCCTCAACGCCGGCTGTCGATCCGGGGAGGGGCTTCTACGATGCAATGCTCAGGTAATAAAGGAGGGGGAACCAAATTTTGTCTTAAAATGAACATATGCCCACTTAGTGAGAATGATGTAGCTGAAGTGAGAGAAAAGACAGGCGAGATATGATATCATCGCATAGATTCGGGGTGGTGGTAAAAATTTTATGAAACAGACATAACTGGGAAATGTGTGACGAGAAGGTATACTTGTTAATAAACCATGTTTTTTATGGTTGTGGTTACTTGTTTTTATGTGAACAGCACCTGGAAGCTGCCATGCCCTTAGTTAGCTCAGTGGTTCTGTGGTAGCTTCATTCTGCTGCATACTGTTTCAGGTACCAAGGCTCCAGGGCCTGATGAAAAGGTGCCTGAAAAAGAGGCACCTAAGCCAGCGCCCCCACCAAGTGATGCTGTGTCCAGCGAGGGTGCAGTGGAGCTTTACAAGCAAAAGATGCTTGTCTTGTATCTCAGGGTAAGTGCTCCAAGCTCTATGAAAAAACTCCAAAGCAAGCACTCATTCTGCACGCACTAAACTGCGATTTCCAGAAGCCTTGCAGTGTTTGATCCATGAGATGAAAAAATTCAATGGAAGTTAGGACCATGTTCTATGGATCCGTAAATTTCTAGTGCGAATCATATTTTCTGTTCCCAAGCCAGTAGATGAGACTCCTTCATTGTCCTTTACTGCCCAAGGAGCAGGGCTACGATTTCTTGCCTACCTTCCAAGTTGCCACTCGTTATTACGTGTCACTGTAATGTGCTCCGACATCACTAAAGTTTTTGTTTACAGAGTGCTGTCAGTTGTGCAAGTGATGAATCTTGACCGCGAGAACAAGCATTTAGACACAGCTTTGTAGTGAATAAGTATATAGTAGAATCTCGATGATATAATTACGCCGTTATTCGGTGTTGTACGAATGGTTTTTTCCAGTCACAGCGGATGATTCGAACGCGCTATTGATCGCTGCACACGAACGGCGCAAAGCGGCTTGTCGTGTGGAAGGAAGGCTCGTTCACACTTGGCCTCGCCAAATTTCTCCTTTTCGCCACCTAAGTGGTCGGAAAAGCACACCGCGAGGCCAACGCGAAAGAAATTGGTCCCTGACCAATTTTTCTGCCACATGATAGCAGATTGCCGGCTAGTGTCTGCGCAATCACGAACTACCCGCGCAGCACAACAAAGCTCATGGCCTTGACAATAACGCGTTCATCGAGAGCCTGGTCAGGATTATGATCGCTTCGAGCACTGGAAGTAGAAGAAGAAGAAGCAGCAGCAGCAAGTCGGCAAGCCCTAACGTGTCTCACTTTGCTCTGCTGGCTAAATTCGTTCTGCTGCCTTTGTCTCAGCTTGTGTCGTTTCTTCTTGCGCATTACGGAAACAATGCTTGTAAAGGTGTAGACTGTTTTCTTTTTTTTCAGTGCATTGCATACATAACTAGCACTCGGTTTGAGTTTTATTGCTCAGGAAACGGGCAAAACGAAACGAATTCTCAAACGGCGAAGGCATGTATGGAAGGGGACAGAATGAATGTGAGCACTTTCGACAAGCGCGGACATGTTCTTGCGGTCGTTCTGGTGTTTTCACCAGAGTGGCGCGTTTTTCCGGCTCCAAGTTTTGCCGCATTCGCTTAAGTGGCACTTTATTGGCAGGCGGTGAAAGCAGGAATAGTTTAAGGAACATCATGCACTTTCTTTCAACAAGTAGTTGACCCAATAAAGTTCCTGTTCATCTTCATGATCAGCTTCAACTTATTCTTAGGTTCATACGAATTCGGGATGATACGAATATTTTGCCTGCTCCCTTCGAATTCGTATCGTCGAGATTCTGCTGAACATTTGCTAAGCCCAGCACTTTGCAGGGTGTCTTTGCATGCAGAGGAAGCCTACAGCAGGCTTTCTATAGCCTTGAAATGTGTCTCAATCTCAAGTGATGCAATTCCACATGTATGATGGTGACGCACTATTTGACAGTGTCTCAATACGAAGCTTCCCCTTCAAAACTTATTTCCTCTTTGCAGGACTGCGCTGACTATGCCGAAAAGATCCAGGAAGTGATACCGACGCTCTGCGACATGCTCTACTCGCGCACCCAGTCAGACATACACGAGGCCATTGCCTTCTTCGTATCTGCCCACGGGCTGGGAATCAAGGGGGCCCTCTTGGGCATCCGCAAAATGCTTTCCCTGGTGTGGTCCAGAGAGCCAACCATCCGAGAAGCGGTTGCCAACGCGTACCGAACGTCTACTTCAACCAGCCTGCCACCAATGCCAAGTACGTAGTACTGACCCTCTTAAAACCAAGACGTCACGTCTTAGAGTTTTCTACAAGCCCACCGAGAGGGAAAAGTGCACACGGCAGTAATTTCAGTCATTAAGATTCTTGTACGAAGTAGTTGACATTTAGTTTACTCTTGTGCCGTCTCGCAGCGTTCGTTTTCATGTCAAGTAATATGGTTTTCTGTAATAACCGACTCCTGCTGAATGGGCTCTGTGTCTTCTCTCTAAACAAATTTTGTCGTAGCTTGTTAGTTCCACACGGTTGCGGCCATGTCGTGCAGAATTTCGTGTGACCTACCACGGTGGTGCTTCACTGCTACGCTCGACTATAGCTCTCGACTGCTGCTCTGGAATTCGCATTATCCAATCTCGGTCGCAGCGGCCACATTTTCAGTGGAGGTGATAATGCTGGAGGCCCATGTACTTAGGTATAGGTGTTTGTCAAAGGACCTCTGGGGGTTGAAAATTTGGGAGCCCTCCACTGTGGCATCTCTCACAATCATATCGTGGTGTTGGAACATAGAACCCTCAAAAGTACTATTATGCCGGCCGCGGGGTGATTGGCCCTTTCGAACGAGGCTTCATTGTCTCGTTTCTCAACGCGACAGACGTGTCCTCGCAACTAGGCTGCCGTAAAAAGTGAAGGAACCAGTGGCCCACGCGCTTCCCCACAACATTACCTAATGAGCTGACTGTTCAAGGGTAGAAAAAGCTTGTAACCTTACACTGCAACTTACAGAATAAGCACTCTGTTGAACAGAAAGCTTTATTTAGACTGCAAATGCAAAGGGGCAGCTTCAGTGCTAAAATCATGCACACGGGTACCCTTAGTGTTTGCTTAGCTGTCAGCCGTACAGAGATTTCTGAATTATTTCAGCTCTGCCATATTGTCACCTTTGGCAATGTTCCCACACGCTCCGTAAACAGCTAAATCAAGAACAGTTGGGCTAAGGCTAGTTGAAATCAATCGGAGCTAGCAAAAAAGCTTTGCAGGAAAGTTAGCCATGATGATGGCTGCTTTGCTATCCAAATGAGATTAACAGCTGAGAGGATTGCTAGGAGACTCGACACTAAGGTCCTGTGTGCACACCTGCCAAGTGTCCCGCATTTTCTGGGAGACCCCCGGATTTCGACCATTTCTTAAGTTTGTACGGTTGGCCAGAAAATCTCCCGGAAATTGAAATTTCTGCACGTGATCTGGCCGCATTGACGAAAATCTAACCCTATCCGATTCAGAGTTTTTGCAAAACTATCTTACTATCACATATAATTTAAATGAATTAGGGTCGTTGATGTAAACGTACAGTAGAATTAATGTTCTCGTCAGTGTGGTGCGTCACTCCATATGATATGAGTCTCGTTACCAAACCAATGAGCGATAGCTGAGAACAACGTGCGTGAAGTTCTGGAAGGATGCACACGACCAACGAAATCGTGGTCATTCGTCACACGATTGTGTGTGGCACCCGCCACTGTGGTCTAGCAGTTATAGTGCTATACTATACTGACCTGCAGGTCACGGGATCGCGGCTGCATTTTTAACGAAGACGAAAAGGCTTTATGCGCATCCCAGGTGACAGTGGCAACAACTTCATTTTATAGTCCTGAGGAAACTCGCCGAAACTTCCGGAATCCTCCATTTCGGCATCTCATGATCGTAACGTCGTTTTGAGACATTCAACGCCATCAATAATTATTTTTAGGATTATATATGGCGATTACAAAACTGACCATAGTGCATGCGGCGTGTCCGGCGCTCACCCAGTCAAAGTGATGCCTCTCTCTGTAAGCGTTGCGAACACGTGCACGGCCAGCGCACGCCGAACAAAAACGGAACTACCGTTTGCCGCAATCGCCGCACTCTATACCGTGGTTGCTGCGATGCGATCATCGCTAGCAGATGCGAGCTATGAAGGTACGTGTTTATTGGAGCGGTAGAATAAAGGCAATAAAGGCATAAAAAAGAAGCCCAAGGTATTTCGGTCGCCATGGCAATTTTCGCTTATGACTATGGTAGAACGGTCTTCAGCACCTAGCTTTCAGTTGGCCTCAAGCGAAGCTTTGACGTCTGCTTTCGCAGCAGCTATCTGCGCTGTCCCTTATTGGTCTGTCCGTGTGTTTTTTAAAGAAACGTTCGCAAGTTTGATTGTTGGGGAAAAGATGTGCGTATATCGTCGTTTGGAGACAGATTTTGCTAGTTCTTTTTTATTATACAGAGTTCCTGGTGATTAAAAAAAAATATTCGCAATACTGCTTGAGATTTCCATATATCAGTGAGATTTGTTTATACGCCATTGTGAAACCGTACCGCCAATGCTTACGCTGACGGGACTGTTACAGCCCCCTCCTTCCGCCCTTTTTAATAATGTTAAAACAAAAAAAGCTATCTCTTCTTTCTTTTCCCATTGTGAGAATCTCCCAGATTCAGAATTCTCGAACTTGACAGCTATCTGTGTGCAAGACACTATACTCATGCCTTCTTATCATTTCTTGCTGATGTGAAGCAATGTCAAGTTGTGTAGAGGATTTCTAATGCTTTGCTGTACTTCGTTTCCAATCCGTTTCAGCTGTCAGTGTTATGCCAACATTGTGGAACTTAACATCGTCATTTGATGGCGTACGAAGTAACATTGCCGTTTGAAGTGCCACTGAAGAAATCTTGTGGTTTATATTTTTGTACCGTTTCATGTAATCCTTGGCCATCCGGGCCGCTTCACACACACTGTGTTCTTGTTTTGTGTGGTGCAGGACCAGAGCTCGAAATATTACGATTGGCCTGTCCGAGCTTGTCAAAACTGTGACGGCGAGTGAGCTGATATGTCTTGAACAGCTGGTAAGTTGGCATTGTTCACATAGTGCTGCAAACACCTCTACGTTGAACTACTATGCGACGAAGTAGTGAAGTGTGACAGGTGAAGTGTCTCGGCAACTCTACGATTAAAGCAATACGCCCACTGGCTATGTGTTGACATTTCACTCAAAAATCACCTTGCATCAAAAGCAAGCATGCACGAACTCAGATTTGAGGTTCGAAGCAAATAGTGTACTGCACGTATTGCAAAGAAAAATAGCTGTAATTATGTTTGGTCATGACGAAACTAGCTTGCATAATATTTTTTGGAAATGGAACTAGGTCACTGCAAGTGTCTTTTTTTTTTAAGTGAAGGGGGAGCAAATTCAAATAGTAAAAGAACGTGAATAGTAATAGGTTCCAAGTTATAAGCAGTGAAACATGCCAAGTTATAAAGTTTGATATACTTAGCATGTATAAGCCTTCTTAACGAGCTTTTACACTTCAAAGAAGATAAGTCGCATTGCAGGTCTGTCAAAAGTTCTCAAGCCACTATCTTATGTATTCCTATGGCCAGTGTGGGCCTGGAAACACTGTAGCCCGACACTGCAGCGAAACCACATTTTCAAGGGGTTATACATATTCACATATTTATTCATTCGTTCATTTCAAATACTTCAAAATTCTGAATAATTGAAGTTTGTGTGGAAGCTAATTTGAATACTGTACTATTCGTTCTAATATTAGAAACGCTAAATTATTCACCCATCCCCAATTGCAGCATTTTCACTTTTTTCACTGTCGTTGCGTCGTCGGTGTAGTCACCAAACCCCATTGGTGTTCAGGTGAAGGAACTGGTGAAGAGTGGCGACGTTTCCTCCGCGGTTCTGCGATTTCTCTGGGAAAGGTACACAATGGAGCAGCCAGACACCACCAGAGAAGACTGCCTTGCAGCCACCCAGCTGCTTTCTATGGTTGCCAGGTTTGTGCCACAAGCATGCCACTTGACCTGAATGTCGTAGGACACTACCACAGTAAACTGCTGTCAGTTTTGAAACGGTTTATTTGGTCTCTACAGGGGTGCAACAGCTGTTCCAATTGCGCTAATTTAATAAAATTGCTTATTCGTGCGTCGAGCTGAGCCAGAATCATGAAATTTGCTGAAGTAGCGCCACGCTGCGCCTAAATGCCTGACCAACCTCAAAATTTTCTCAATTGTGCAAATTTCGGCAGGAAATGTAGGCCACTTGTAGCTTGTGTCATCAATCAATTCAGGGATCTAGGCACACAGACCCTAACCTTAAACCACGGTGTAAGTTATATTTTGCCAGGACAATTGCGAAAGGTGATCGACCAGATGAAGCGACAACCCCGCGCGTCCAGTGGTCTGCTGGCCGCAGCGGATATTTGTCAACGGGACAACGCAACTTTAAGACAAAAATGTGTTGCCGTAGTCAGCAACATTTCAAGGAAAATATGAATTTCCAAGTCAGCAAGCGCCGCTACGGCATGTTGGCAACTAAAGCTGAAAACGTACGAACTCGGCATGCTTGCGAACGCCGACGTTGCCGGCTACCACGTTAATTGCCATAGCAACGGCACATGCGATAGATATCCGGTACCGTCGGCAGGCCAACTGGGCGCTTGCCATGGTTACTTTGTCTGGTCAAACGGGCCTTGCAAGCCAGCCGAGGAAGTTGTGTTTTATACCAGAGCCATTTGTGGGAAAAAAAAGAAGTGGGAAGGGGGGGGGGGGGGTGGAAGTAGTTCGAAAATTTCTTGGCCTTGTTCTAACCCATGCAGAATGCCACGCAAGTCATCTTCGCTGCAGTACAATAGGGGCCTGTGAAAAAAGCGTTTTAAGATTTGGAAGGGGCTAACGGTAGTAGTCACTGAACACAGTGCAGTTTGTTCAATTACTTATGCAGTGTATGTGCTGTATCATTGCGAGTACTAATATGATCGCTCATGTCTAAAAACAGTAACTGGCAATCATTCGGAGTACTATATGACATTTATGCAACCCTAAAAATATCAAACAAAACTGTGCGTCGTGTATTTTTTTTTTGCTACCCCTACTTCTCAGTTTTACGATTCTCCCGAATCTTAAGATGACTATCTTGGCAGATCCACATTTGAATTCTCGGAGTTTTTCAAACGATTTGACAGGTGTGGCAGATTCTAACCTGAACTTTGTCATTGTTTACTAGGTAAGGTGGTTAAAAAGATACTACTTTCATTGAAACAGTAGGGGTGAAATTCGCTCTGCATGATTTAAAGGAGGTTGAATGGTTTGCACGTAGTTTTTAATTTCTTTTTTTTTTTTTTTTAATGTGAGCCTTCTTTTTCGAACTGCTCCAAATTTGGTTTTTCGTGATAAAAAATGAATGGTTTTTTCTCCTGTAACCTCCTCCAAATATGGATTTTAGTGCTACAAAAGTAACGTTTTGCTGCTCCAAGAATTGCTCCGAATTCTGTTTCTGCTGTTGCACCCTTGCCTCTGTCAAAAGTGCTGGCCGGCAACCCTCATTTTTCTACGGCAACTAGCCTTTGCTGTAATATTCAACTTCGTGTACTCATCTTACATGTGCCAAACCCTAATAAGTAATGGCAGTGATGGTTGCAGTAGCAGTACTGTCCAGCTTTGCAGTGCTTAGAAAACAGTGAACCCATCACCCATGCCATTGCAAGATGTTAACTGCCATGAATGGTGAACTCGCACAAAAAAAAAAAAAGAATGGTGACACACTGCCTTCACTCTTACTACAAATGCCTTTTCAAAAGTTGCATTATTTTATGTGTTTGGATAATTGGTGACTAATCGCATCACTTTTTCTTCATTTACATTTGCGACATCCGTTACTAGAAAACAAAAAACAGAAATGCAAGATCTACAAAAACATATATTGTAACGAACAAATACAACGCCGGAAGCTGAAACAACTATTTATTTATGGCGAACTTGTGCCCGTCAACTAAATACACAAAGGTTGTCCTGAGCTCTTTAGTGAAAAACCTCGTCAACGTCTTCTTTATGCGTCTCACCGCGTGCCGCTCCTTCCAAAAACCGCCAGCCTTCTTTTTCCAGCACGTGGTGTGGTGACACGCGCAGCCAGCGTTGCATGGCGCGTTTAGCTTGGCACGTTTGGCTTGTCAGTTGGTCTGGCAGAATTCATAAGAGCAGGAAGCGGCGCAAGTCTTCGGTAGGTGCCTAACAACATGCGGCAATATATATTTGTCAAACTTAAACTCTAGGCTTGTGCTAATATTCTAAACGCTTTGATTCGAATTTAAATTGAAGAAAATTTTGAAGTATTGAATATACAAATTGGTGTATATATTAATCCACATGTAACCTTCTTTTGTGAAGCTGGTTTCACTGCAATGAAAGGGTGCCAAGTCATGAAGGCACCTATATCTGCATGTAAATTATTGTAAAAGTGGTTTGACTGCAGTAAAGAGGTGCTACGCCATGAAAACACCTGTCCAGGGGAAATTTGCTCTGCCCTCGAAGCCCCATGTGAAGGTTAAATGAAGGTATTAACGTCACAGCGATTAAGTTTAAAAGCTTGTTATACTGTCAAATATGTTTCAAAACATAACATATTTTTTACAGGTTATTACTTGCATTCTATTGGAAGTCATATCCTGCTACTATTCAAAGTTATTTCCACTTTCTTTGAACCAAAAGGAATGGCATTTGCACAGGCTTTGTCTCAATTAAACAATATATATATAATTACAGGCTAGTTGGGTCATCACTATTCGAACAAGACTATTAAACTTCTCTCAAAGCTCAACATACATGTTCAGGTAGTGAATTATATGGAATACCTGGCCAGAATAACTTGAAACAATACATTCTGGACATGCTTTGTATCTCGGAAAATCGCTTGACTTGGCTTGGCTTTCCATGGCAGTTTATAAGCCAGTGAGCTGGTTTTACGTGTTCCCACCGATATCGCGGCTTCATTTAACAACGGTGCCGAGTACATTTGCAGTTCAAACTATTGCAAGCTCTGTGCTGAAAAACCTTCGAAATCAGGAAGGAGACTCTTCATAATTTTTTACTGCAAGCATTTCGCCAGCATTTTTTTTTTTTTTTTCTGGAGGCCTAGTCTCGGTTCTTGCCGTCTTTCATCTCTCTTTTGCAAAGGCTAGTAAATGTGATGTTTGTTGCAACAAGATTTTTCGTTTCTTTTTTATTTTATTTTATGCAGTGCCGATAACAACATGGTGGCAAAAAACTTGGAGCTCCTCGTCTCCGTTGGATTGGGCGAGCGTGGGAAAGCCGACCTTGACTTTTGCAGGCACACGTGCAGCATCATCCAGAAAATGAGCGGTGCTGTCTCGGTAATCTTTTTTTTTAGCCATGTTGAGAGTCTATTTCCGGCTATTATTGCTTTGCATGAAGCCCTAAGAATTCTCATTGTGTCTCTTCTGTCTTGTCTAGTCGCCAGTGAGAAGGAAGACTTTAGTGCACGTAAGTCATGAGAGTGCTCGGCTGCTGACTCGAAGGTCGCTCGTTCGATCTTCGGCTGCGGCAGCCTTATTTCGCGAGCCGAAATGCTAGAGGCCCATGTACCATTCAATGTCAGTGAGTGTTAATTAAAGGACATCAGATGGTTGACATTTCTGGAGCCCTCCACTACAGCTTCTCTTGTAATCGTAGCATGGGCATTTCTTGTGCGCTTCTTCTCATCTATACATTATCATAAGCATCATCATCCTTCTGGCTTTTTTCCCTCATCTTCCCCGGGTGTCACCACCATTATTATAGGGTGTGTGCGTACTCTGCCTAAGACTGCCTGTTCGCTGCTGAGTCCGTGGGCTGTATAAATGCCGTCTAAACCAAGACGTCACAATATCGTGCTGATAGGACATAAAGCCCCATATATCACAGAAAAAGCTCGTTAATTCAAACTCGAAGGCAGTTACAAAACTGTTTGAATTAAGCGGAGTTTAAATTAGCGGACGGGCACTAGAATGAACGGTCATCTCGCCACACCTGCGGGGGCAGAAGCGAAAGAAGCTTCACAGTTAAACCTCTTTATAAGAGGCGTGCTCTGGACAGCAATTCTTGTCCTTTATATGAGATGTCTCTTATAAGCAGGGGGCTTCGTATGCATTTTCTTATCAACCTGTATTTTACTGTAGGCATACTGGTGTCCCCATTTGTCTCTTATATCAGTGTCTCTTATAAAGGGGTTCAACTGTATTTGAAATGTTATCGCAAACTAGGTGGTACTACACATTTGTGGCAGGTCTTTTTGTAAAATAAGCTCAAGGAGATTTAAAAGAAACGCAATTAATTGATCAGTGACTGCAATGCAAGAAACTAGCATCGACATGGGCATTCATGTGAGCTGTGAACATTAATGTGAAATATATGATACTATTTATGCTCTAAAACATGTTTATTCATATGGCACAGCTAAAGCAACCAAAATTCACAATCAAATCCAAAACAGCAATTCGCATTAGGTTGCGTTACTTCTGTCATGACTCCGTGAGCATTGTTTACAGATTGCTCAAGAGCTTCAGCGGTGGGTCTGAATTCTCATCTGCTGAGAAACTGCTGCTGTTTCGTATTTTGTATCACTTGTGTATTTGATTTGGTTTGGTCCTGCATATTATTGTGATCACTGAGGGCCGACTTCCACGAGGAGCAGTGAAAACAAAAGACTCCCAGTTCAAATAGACCATTTCGGATACCAACGCGCTCGAATTATTGGGAATTTTCCCCTTGGAAATACACAGGGTAGTGCCGGGACCAGGACTGTCGGTTAGAGTTAGCTGTAAGTTCGAGTTAACGAGCTTTTACTTTATTATCTTACCCTAAGTACGCTTGCTAGATAGATATGTAGCTTTACAAAGGTTTACATATTTACTTATTCATGTAGCAGCACTCAGTAACTTTTTTAATCCATGTTGATTTCCTATTTGTGGCTAGCTATTTATTTGCTTGAAACCCTAAGAATTGTCATTGTGCATTTGCTGTTTTGTCTAGTTTCCAGGTAAAAGGAAGACTTTAGCACACGTAAGTCATGACGCTCTCTCTTACCCCAAAGACACCTGCTAGATATGTAGCATTGCTAAGGTTTACATATTTACTTATTTATTTATTCATTTAGTTATTTATTTATTTGCAGATAATCTGCATTGCCTCGAAAGCATTATTGCAGAGCAGAGAGTTTGTGTACTTCTTGCATCTTTTACAGTACCAGGCAGTAAAACTTGTAAAATAAGGTTAACAATCTCCAAGGTAACTAGAATGTCCAAACAAAAACTGGGGCAGTAATGCATGATCAGAAACACAATCGGTAATAAAAATTAAGGCTAGCGGATACACAAGTGTATCCTTCAGTAATATATCCAATAGACCCCTTTCATAATTCGCAAGTGCTCTTCTCGGCACTGCATGTTTGCCCTGCTAATTGCGGCACCTGTCCTACTTCAAATGGAGACCAGGTCCTAGTTAAACACGCTGGCGCTCGTCTACTATTATGCTGCAGTAATGTCGAGATAGCTAAACCTACATTTTCCAAGTCTTAGTGCAAGTAAACTGCACTTACACTCTGTTTGAAAAAAGTGACTAGCCACCATTAGTAGGGCAAACTGCATAGCAGGAAAGCTAGCTTTACAATTATGAAAAGGGTTTATAGTACATCAAAAAGAAACCTTGAGGTGCGCATCTTATGCTCTGCGAAGGCCGTTGATAAGGCGACCGAGGACACTCAACAGGATCTTCGTGCTGTAGTTACGGCACATAGGGAGCGACTCATGCGGGCCATGTTCATTTCTTTCTGTAGACCAGATCAAGCGTGCCTTGATGTAACATTAGAATGTGCCTATTCCATTCCTAAGCTTGTCCTCTATTTTTCTTTTAAGCTTGTACTCTATTTTTGTTTCAGGCTGCCCAAGCACCCCTGCAGCACTTTGAGAATTCCCACAACATGTTTGTTCGGCTTCAAGACATTCTACTAGAAAGTAAGGGTTCATTGCATTCTTCTTTCTGATGAAGTATACAAGCCGGTCTGAAGTACGTACACTTCACACTGTCACAACTGCGGCGCAGGAGCCCACAAAAACCAACTGTTTTGGGGGCATAGCTCCTTATGGCGTGGCTTGTGCGCCCATTGTCGCATGTAACCACCGGTGGCACATACCTGAGAGTGGTTTTTAGAATGTCCGCTGGATGGCGGTACCTGTATATGATGAATACATGATGAAAAGATTTGAGATAGCGGTATTTGGAGTATTCACTATATAGACAGATGAACGAACGGACGAGCTCACCGACGGTCACACGGACAGATGCATGGACAGACTGACGAACGCTTTGCCCCACTAATCATCATTCATTCCTTGGATATGCTGTGATTATTTTTTACACCAAACAGTATGCTTGCGTTTTCAGACAGCAACCAGGTTCTTGCTGCTTTAGCTTATGCCTCTACGAAAAGTTTGACACTTACAGGCAAGCATGCAAGATGTAAATGGCGACTGGAAGTCACGACTACTGCTGGACTGGATTAACTCCTCACATCGAAAGTGATGATGATGATAACCAAGTGGTACTTTGGTTTCTGTAACTACTACTGCGGGTGCTACACCATTACAATGAAACATTGTGCTGCCCTTCTTTATTTACTTTTCTCAGTTGTGTGGGTTTATATATTCGTTTAGGAACAAACAATACAATAGTTTGTGTGACGATTTTGGCTTTTATTGCGGCAGTAATCTCCATGATCGTCTCTGTTTGAGCTACAAGTCGCCGGCGTATAAGACTCCACCCTCTTCATTGTTATAACAAGATTAGATGTCTCTTTACGAATGCTCTCATGCTCAGTTTATCGTAATCAGAGTGAAATATCTATAGTTGTCTCTCAGAATTGCAGGACTATTTGCATATATAAGATACACGAGGGAAAATATAGAAAAACAAGTGTCTTACACACCTGAAAATACGGTAAGTAGGTACAGTCCAACCCCTTTATAAGAGACACTGATATAAGAGACCATTGGGTAAAAGACACACCAGTGTGCCTAAAGTAAGATACAGGGAATAGAAATGGCAGCAAATTCTCGGCACCTTCACAAACAACGACCGCCGTGACTTTGCTCAGCAACTCGAGTCTCGGGTCTAGAAACCGAATGAGAGTGTTGCCATGTTTGCGGAGGACATGACCCGCCTATTTCGACGGGCTGACCCTGACATGCCTGAAGCCAAGAAACTCTGCCATTCGATGCGAGGCATCAAAGAACAGCTGTTTGCCGGCCTTCTTGCAATCCACCGACGACAGTTGCTGAATTCAGTCAAAGAGGCTACAGCTATCGAGCCGGCACTGCAGCAACGGTTTTAGCTATTACGACCGACCAAACGGCGCCTCAATCAGCGTCGACCGACCAAACGGCGCCTCAAGCTCTGACGGCCAGCAGTGACGGTTCTCTGCGTGAGCTTATTCGCGAGGTTGTTTGTGATAAGATCCGCAGCTTCCTTGTGACTCCGCAAAAAACGTGCGATGGCTTCAGTTGGAGAACTTGTGCGGCAGGAAATCAGGCAAGCATTTCCACAGCCCGAATCGCTACCAGCCCAGCGATCTATTAACTATGCTGCAGCCACCCATCGTCCGTTGCCAGTGCCGCACAACTTGTCTGCACTGGCTCATTCTTACAACGCGCTGGCGGCACCAGTGTACAACTCGCCGCCGCCTCTGTTACCAACGACGATGACTCCGCAATATAACGCACATACTGAAACTCCGTTCTACCCGCCGTTCTACCCTCCCCCGACACCAGCCCCGCCGCGGTGGTCTAGTGGCTAATGTACTCGGCTGCTGACCCGCAGGTCGCGGGATCGAATCCCGGCTGCGGCGGCTGCATTTCCGATGGAGGCGGAAAATGTTGTAGGCCCGTGTACTCAGATATGGGTGCACTTTTTACCCCAGGTGGTCGAAATTTCCGGAGCCCTCCACTACAGGCGTCTCTCAATCATATAGTGGTTTTGGGACGTTAAACCCCACATATCAATCCATCAAATCCGCCGACACCTGCAACTTGGTCGCCGAGGGTGCCTACCATGTCAACCATTTGTTCGCAAGACGGATCTTTGGCGCACTGTCGACTTCCATCCACTGTGTTTCAATTGCGGAGAAGCTGGACATGTTTACCGCATCTGCCCATATCATGAACAAAGATACCCGACTTATGCACCGGCTTTTTCACGACCTCATTTCGACACCTGACGTGACAGCGCACACCCGCATGCACAGCCGTCAGCTCTGTATCGTCGATCCCGCTCTCCGTCACCTTTGCTGAACTGTCGTAGTTACACCGACGCTGTCTGGGGCAGGTCCCCAAGCCCTCATCGGGGAAACTAACAGCTGCGACCTTTGGAGGGAAGGTTGCCGTCTGTCGTGATGCTGGCTTCTTCCTCCTCTGTTGTGCTTACGGCTAATAACCGTGACAATACGAAGTCTCCTGCTTATAAGAGACATTTCGTATAAAAGACACGAATTACTGCCCGGCGCATTCCTCCTATAAAGGGGTATAACTGTTATCGAAAAATCTGCTGAGTGTGACAAACCCTCTTATGGCATAGCTTGCATAAGCTGCACTCCAACCTCATTGTAACAAAGTTGAATCATACATGAAAATAAGCTTGTTATATCTGAAAACTCGTTATAAAGGTATTTGTTTGACAGTATGTTAACAGGAGATTTTCATAATATGCAAGTGCGCTTCTCTGCTATACTGTTTGTCCCACTAATGGCAGCTAGCTCTTTACCTAAAAGCAATATATTCGAGCACAGTTTGCTAGCGCTATGATGTCGAAAATGTTGACTCTGCTGTCTTGGTATAGGCGCGGATCAAAGACAAGCCCCTAGCACACGCAACTAGGGCCTCGTTTCCACTCGAGGCACCACTGGTGCCGCCACTGGTAGGGCCAGTATGCATCGCAGAGAAGCATACTTGCGGATTGGGAAAATATCTAATTGCTAGGCCATTCTTTATTTACTTCGCTATAACCAATATTTTGTTATATATAGGCTCGTTAAATCAAGGTTTGAGTGTACGAACACACATTTGACTTGACGGAATTGGTGCGCGAAATTTGCGCATCATCCAGTGTCATTGTGTCTGTGTCCCCAATCTCGTTCTTATAAGTAAAGGAGTGCAAGAAGAAGCTATGGACAGCCACCAACTGTTCCAAATCATAGCTAGCTTCAAAGGTAACAACTTTATGGAACATAGAGATGTACAACACTTTTGGTAAAAGCCTTAATGGCTGCTTAAATCGAACTTCCTGTAATATTGGTTTCGTCCTGAATTCTGCACTCCTATTCATTTCTCTGTAAGTGGAACTTCTTCTTAACAAAACTTATTTTCCCCGCCCTTTCAACTTTCGTTGAGAGTCTACTGTAAGGTCACTGAGAAAAGAAGCCAAGCCCAGCTAGCATTTCCTTCGTTGCTTCATCTGTTCTCTGTGGTTATGATGTGTAAGTTGTGTGAAACTTTTTCGCAGCATTTTGCGACACCAACGTGGATATTTGGATTCCCACCATGGAGAGGGCCCTTGACATTATCTACAGGTACGCCTTGGAGCCGGCCAAAATTGCCGACAATATCCTCCACAGTTTGGCAGAAAAGTTGCTGGCCTCGTGCCAGGAGCAAGTGGCCGTCAATGGTGCAGCACAAAGTGAGTGAAATGAATGCTTGTGGACATCTCAGTAGCAGCATCTTTACTTTGTTTCTTGGAATACAAAAAAAAAAGAAACAGAGGCAAAAGGCATTTCATATGCCTAATAGAGGCCTGTGCACATGAATTTCACCACAGATGTACACATATAACAAAACAGAAATAGAAAACTCGAATTGTATGCAGTCAACGACCATTTATTCGGACGCTAAAAATTTGGACATGCGTTTATTCGAGTGCCTTCTCGGCACTGCCACTAGTCCCATTGAAGTACTGTACCGTATTTTTGCGCGTATAACCCGCCCCTGCATATAATCCGCACCCCCACTTTCAGCTCACCGAGAAAGAAAAAAAAATCCTCGCATATTGCCCGCACATTTGATATACAGGAAAGGCTGTACAAAAGCTACTGCTCAAGCAACATAGCACATATGTAGACAGAAAAAGCTTCATTTAGCAAGCAGAATACGCTGTCTGCAAGGCCAGTCACAATTCACTCACTGTCGCTGCTCTCGCTGGAGCTATCACTTGAGCCGCAGTCCTCACTATTATGCACAAGGTCATCTTCGGTTCCATCCATGTTGTTTGTGATGCAGCATTTCTTGAAACTTTTTCGCACCATCTCACCTGGAATGGCCTTCCATGCCTCGACAATCCACTTGCAGAATAGGGCAATATCAGGCCTTCGGACTCGTCCCGTCGGCGTCAAGTCGTAGCAGCCTTCGGCCATCCACTCAGCGTAATAGCGCTTGACATGCGCTTTGAAGGGCTTGTTAAGCGACACATCTAGAGGCTGCAACATTGACGTCATTCCACCGGGTATAACAACTAAGTCGGTGCCGTTGCGTGAAAGGCGGTCCTTCACTTCCTCAGTTGTGTGGCCGCGGAACGAGTCAAGAACGAGCATGGACCTCTTTGCGAGCATCGCACCGGGCCTCTTCTCCCATACTGTCTTGATCCAGTCTACGAACAAGTCACTGTTCATCCACGCGTTCTCGTGTGCGCGCACCACCACACTGGCAGGCAAATGAACCTTTGGTAGAGTTTTCCTTTTCAAGACGACGTACGGTCGCAGTTGCGTGCCGTCGGCGAGGGCACAAAGCAAGACTGTGATGCGCAGTTTCGTGTTCCCGCCGGTCAGCACGCTCATGAACTGCTGCCCGTCTTCTCAATCGTTGTGTCCAACGGCATTTCAATATAAACAGGAGTTTCATCCGCATTGCCGATTTGCGAGAAAATGTAATTGTGCTGCTTTTGCAGGCCAATTACTTATCTCTGGTACTTGAGCAGCTTCTCCTCATAAGAAGCCGGCAAGCGTTGACATATTGTAGTCCGCCGTCTGATTGAGAGCCCTTGCCGCTTCATAAAGCAATGCAGCCATCCGCGGCTCGCACGGAACTCGTGAGGTAGGCCTAGCTCCCTCGTAAGTCGCCGCGCTTCTCACTAAGCCTAACGAGTGGTTAATTACCCCTTGAAAATTGGAGACCTAATATCGTTTCAGGGGCACTCCAGGTCCAAGCAGACAGTACATGTGCTAACCGAAGTGTTGGCTACTCTTCAGAGTGGTGATAAGAAAAGAGGTGAAAGCCGAATGCATTTTTTGTGATGCTGCCAGTGGGGCTGGCCAACGTGTTTCGACGAGAGACATCTTGGTGTCTCATAATGATAATCATTGTAAATGTAGAGAAACTTTGTTAATGACCTGGTGCGAACAGGCGTGGTTCAGATGGTTGAAACATGGCCAGATTTCTTAAGTTCTCCTAGAACTGCATTGGTAGTGCCTTGATGTGGAGCTGTGCAATTGGAAAGAGCAGTGGAAACATTGTGGGAACGCCTCTATTCAATAATATTTTGGTGCTGTGCCAGATGCAATTGAATTTGTTTTCACATCATGGCCAGAATCGTAAATGCTTCTTATCATTCACGAAAACCTGTTATGGGTTATAATGAAGACTTCGTGTTTCACTCTTATTTCTGGACAGTGTGCCAATTTCATTTAACTGCTTTGTACATTTTCTTTGGCGTCTTATTAAAATATGAACAGGCCTAACAACTTGAATAAAAGATGTACCGTATATACTCGTGTAAGGGCCGCCCTCGTGTAAGGGCCGCACCCCAACTTTGAAAGCGGATATTCGAAAAAAAAAAAAAAACAAAAGTTCAAAATGTCCCGCCAGAAAAGTGTAGTTAGTTCATTTACAGCCAGATGGCGCTGCACGCTTTTCCGCTTTTATTCTACTTCCGCCGACGCGCCGACCACGCTGTTGACAGCGCGCCGCCATATTTGCCTTGTGCGGCCTCTTTGTTGGCATCGTTCCTAGCATCGTGTCGATACGTTGGCAGCGCGACTTCAGATCGGTGTCGTCGGTGTCACTTTGTTGGTTGTAGTGAACCCTGCAGAAGCCAGCGCACGTGACGGACGATGGGCCGGCATCTGAGATCATTCACTGCAGCATTTAAGCTGCAAGTGATTGACTATGCCGAGGAGCACGGGAAGCGGGAAGCTGGACGAAAGTACGACGTCGATGAGAAGCGCGTGCGTTACTGGATGAATCAGAAAGATGCCCTCGCCGCTACTAACAGGAGCCGAAAGGCGTTTCGGCGGGAAAAAGTGCAAGTACCCGCAACTCGAAAGCGAGCTCGTCAACTACGTCGTCGACACACGAAGGGACGGCTACGCCCGTATCGACTGACATGATACGCGTCAAAGCCCTCACAATCGCTCGCAGCACATGAAATACCCCCGGCACAATTCAAGGCAAGTCGGGGCTGGGCTACGCGGTTTATGAACCGTAACCAGCTTTCTATTCGGCGCTCGAACGACATTTGCCAAAAACTGCCGCGCGAGTACGAAGACCACACGTCTTAAGTTTCAGCGCTTCGTGAATGCTCTCAGGAGGGAGCATGAATACGACCTGTCCCAAATTGGGAATGCGGACCAGACAACCTGTGTGTTCGATGCACCGGAAAGCACCACAGTGGATTTAAAAGGTGCGAAAAGTGTGTCTGTGCGCACGACTGGTGCAGAACGCCAAAGGTGCACTGTGATGTTGTGCATCACGGCAGACGGCAGGAGGCTTCCGCCGTACGTCGTATTTAAAAGGAAGACTCTCCCAAAAGAGAAGTTCCCTCAGGGAATCGTCGTACGTGCGCAAGAGAAGGGCTGGATGTCCGAGGAACTGGTCGTTGACTGGATTAAGACCGTCTGGGCAAACAGACCTGGAGGGCTGTTACAACGGAAAGCCCTCCTTGTTTTGGACAGCTTTAGGGGCCACTTGACCGACCGCGTCAAGAACCGAGTTGCCGCAACTCGTACGGACTTGGCCGTCATTCCCGGTGGCCTGACGAGTGTGCTGCAGCCGCTCGACGTATGCGTCAACAGACCATTCAAAGTGGAATTTCGCCGATGTTACTCTGAATGGATGGCTGGAGGCGTCCACGAGAAGACCCCTACAGGACGGCTGAAGCGGGCGTCGCTCCAACAGGTGTGTGAATGGATTTTGAATGCGTGGCGTGCCATGTCAGTAGAAGTAGTTGCTAAAAGCTTCAAGGTAACGGGAATTTCGAACTCCATGAACGGCACCGAAGATGACCGTCTCTGGGAAGACGCGGACGCCGAGGCGAGCTCCTCCGAGAACGAGGACAGCGAAATGGAATCCGAATAAAAACATTTCTGGCATGTCATTTGTGACTCTTGCACTCTGCTACTGTTGCATAAACAGTACAGACCTTTGGCCTGTACTGCCTGTACTAAATCGGCCTGATTCGTGTAAGGGCCGCACCTAGCAAAATTTTCGAAAAAAAAGTGCGGCCCTTACACGAGTATATACGGTAGGTAAACTGAGCTGGGAATATGGAACACTGTGCCAGTTAGTAAAGCTTTATTGTAACTACAGTGTGACTGACATAGATGAAAAGCAAATAGAGAAAAGCATTGCTGTTCTGAACGGAAGCCTATTGAATGAACAACATACACCATAATTGCTTTCATAATTTGCACACTTTTTCTTGCGATTTTGGGGCTCCAAGAAGAAGGTGCACAAGTTACGCGGAGATTTTGCAAACGCATATGAAATAATGTGCAATAGTCCTAATGTGTGTAGTATTTACATCAAAGAAAATAAAATTACTTGGAGCACGAACGAAACCAGTTTAACAGAATTAGCACATACTTTAACCAGTCAGTCGCGGCTACTGCCACCGCCCTCTCAAAACGCATCACTGTTCAGCACGTTCGAATGTCCCATTTAGTTGAAGCTCTTCTCTACAATGCTGGAAGAAACTCAGTCCCACGACACGGCGATACGAAGGACCTAAGTGTTCGCACATAATCGGAAAGGCTGTCTTCAACAGCATGAAACATGTATCAGCAAGCATGCACTCTTCTCCTTTCTTCCGTACCGATCGTGCTAATCCTCACACCTGTGAGAACTTCACGCTGAAGTGCTTGGCGGTGGCATGGTTTCCATTCTTTTTTTTTTTTTCAGCAAAGTTTACAACAGCGGGGTTGAATTTTGCCATATATATATATATATATATATATATATATATATATATATATATATATATATATAATTACTGTAGCCCATTGCAAGAGAACAGTAAAAACGCGACGTGGGGATTGCAAAACGTAAAGTTCCAAAATCAACAAAGCGCGCCTTGCAGCACGGACGTAGAGAACGAGAAGAACAGTTGGCGTGACAGGCCCTACGGGCCCTCGTGTGCCTCCGGTGCCGAAAGTTGGGCTTGCCGTTATGCGAGTATGCATTCATTATTATGGTTGTAGAGATGGCGAGATAGAGGGGGGCAAATGCTCGAGCAGTTCCAGCAACCCGTGAAGAGATCTCTGTGTTCGTACATGGTATTCCAGAGACCCTAGTTCGGGGCAAGACCTCAGAATACGGGAATTCACACTTGCAGCCCATTTGACTACACTCGCCTGCTCGGCAGGGCAGGTGCCCGTCCAGAGAATCCAAAGGTTCAATGTCTCTCCGTGTGCGTGCCAGCGAGCTGGCTCAAGCGGGTTGGTGAGCGCGAAATATGCAATACACATGTACATATATTTTGTTTGTAAGGCTGACTAAATATTAGGGGTGAGCAAATTATGCTAGTAGATATGGTTCGTGTTACCTATGAACGTGACTCAGTGCAGCCCTAGATGTATGCAACAGATTGTCAATAATTGAAAATTCAACCATACTAAAAATTCAGCCATATCGACTATATCAGAAGGCAATACAAAGAAAGTGCTTTGTTTCGTGTCTCTCTTTGCATTTCGTCTGTGTCAGTCTTGCCATAGCCACAGCATATTATGTTGACAAATTATGACTTCTTCCCTAATTTTCTTCACTAAGCTCGTCTCAGTTCTCCAGCCTCACTGAACACCGTGACGATTTCTCTGCCACACAGCAAACCCACAGGATTCTGAGGGCTCGCAGAACGAAGAGAGCGAAGAATCGACGGTGCAGGAATCGCCCCAGACGCCCTCGCGCGAGTGTTCGAACCTGCTGCTGTCTCGCGCGCTGGCTTGCGTCGGTCACGTGGCACTGCGGCAGCTCATCTACCTCGACGTGGACGTTTTCGCTCAGCTGAAGCGGAAACGCGAGTCCGCAAAGGACAAGAAGGAGCAGGCCGTGAACAAGAAGAAGAAGCGGCAGTCAATGTCTGCTACCGGTCACGTCCTTGCCCAGAGCCAGGTGAGGCAGGATTAGAGATGAGAGATGGATGGGGTGGTTGTTGTGGCTTGACCTGAAACATAACTACTATATAGTATGCTTGTACGAATATTGGAATGAATATCGCAGTATTTGAAATTAACGAATAGGTGTATATAAGCTCGCATGTAACTCTCATAAAAGTGCCTTCACTGCAGTAGAGTGGTGCTAAGCCATGAAAGCACCTACCGTATATTGGAAATCTGCATTGTCGCGAAGCCCGACATCAAGGTTAAATGAACATATCACCCTCACATCAATGCATTTTTTTTACATTTAAAAGCTTGTTATGCTGGCTTATGTGCTCTAAATACAGTAAATATTAAAACATAACACATGTTACAGGTCATCACTAGCATTCTGCCAAAATTCAAATCCTGCTATTATTCAAAGTTGTTTCCGCTTCTTTTGAAATGAAAAAATGGCATTTGCGTTTCAATTTAAAAAATGTATATGTTGTGCAGGTTAGTTAGATCATGACAAATATGTCCATTTTTGCTTTGTAGTATGTATGTACATAATATTTGCAGTGGTGGGAAATCTGCACCAGTTGCGCCAACTGGACATTACTGCACCATACTGCCCCAAAAGGGTCTTTTTTGTCTAATTTGTGCCGTTGCTGAGCCAAAAGGTGGTTTTGGAACCGAAAGTAATGTTGATAGCACAAATCGTGAGCGTATGTTATCTGATGGTTGCCATCTTACACATTTGGGCTGCAGCAAAAGCACAGAATCGGCCGACCAATCATCCCGACATCCGCGTGGTTGCGCGGTACCTTTTCTGGCAACCATTGGCAAAGAACAAGGCGATGCGGCGACTGCAGAAAAACGTGTCAGTATGACTTATATATGTACAACAAAAACCGACGTGTGTGTCAAATCGCCGCTTTTAAGTGCACGCTTTTAATAGCCGGCGACCTGAGAGCGCTGAGGCCTTGATCGCTGCTGCCTCAATCGTCGTCCGTGTTCAGCGTACACCACTTTGCAGAAACGAAGATGCAGCTCGTTGTTACGGAGCTAAACGCTCTGGATTGCGGGCACCAAGAAGGCAAGCGTCAGCACGCTTGTTCATAAGGCGACAGCCCAAATGTGCCTTCGTTCGCTGCCAGGACCGCTGAAAAATCGCTTGCAGAAAGCTCACTTTGTCGCGTTAGCGCAATAGGCTTCTTGCCACGTCTAGTGTCACACAGGTCCCGTTAATTAGGGAGGCGATCGCCAGGCTAATTCCAAGGGCCGAAGTATCGGCCCCCCGAACCGCACCACGAAAGCGTGGACAATTTAGAAGTGGTCCTTCTAGGCGCGCCAGCGGACGCCGGCTGTGGCCCAAAGAACAAGTCAGAGCCGAGAGTTGATAAACAAACAAAATTATATTCTCAATAATGGCAGATCGAAAACAATACACAAGAATGTACACTCCACAATAGTTGCATACAATATGTCACCAACCAAACAACGTACTACACAGTACAATCAGCCACACTCGAAACAACGGACACAGACAACAATACGCACTACAATGCAGTCGCATGCATTGAACAACCAAGACACTTAAAGACTAAAGAGTTAGAAAACCTATACAGTCCAAAGTCCTTGGAACAAAAGTCTGAATGATACTCTTCCGAGAATCACTCACTCAAAGTCCAGCGTTGTTGTCGTTCCGCTGCCCCTGAAGTTTCTCTTCCAGGAAACCTCGCGTCTTCAGTTGGCCTCTCTCCAAGCTTCAAACTTATTCGCCGGAAACACGTCGGCTTCACATACGCAGCTGTTGCCACGCGTCTTCGCTCGATAGCGGTAGACACAAGCTCTTGCCTGTAGCTCGAGCCTTCACCCCTCAGGTGGAAATCCCCTTCTTCTTTTGCTTTGTCCCTACGGACAAAACCTTCGCCGACTACACGGCGGAATCCCTACGCGCTCTGGCGCTAACTTCCGTCTTCTCCTGATCTCTCGTCTCGGCTGCTCGATTAAATACCTTCCGCGCGAGATTCCAGAAAGTTCTCATCATTTCGTCGGCGCGATGCGCAGCGAAGGCTGGGGGAAAGGTCGAGACGATACGAGGGCCGTCCCCGACAGATGACTCAACCCGGAATTCCACGCCCCTTTCCATCTAGAAACTTCGAGTGCTTGCTCGGCCGCCGATGTGGGGAGAAGAGGTTCGTCGGCGAAGCCACGCTTCCGAGGGGAGAGAGTCGCGCGCCCGGGGAGCCTGGGATGTTTGTTTTCTTTTTCTTTTTTTTATCGTTGACCTCGCGGCGTCACTCCGGCGTTTCGTCGCGAGAATTTGGCGACGCGCCCTTTTTGAGCGCTCGTTCTGTGACATCTGGGCACAGTAGACGATCGCCTCCCTGCGACCGTACCGCGATCTAAAGATAGCCTGTGTCAGTTTTTGCTAAGTAGCAGATCGCGGTACATAATTATCGCTGACAGCCGATATGTTTGTATCGTCGCTGTGTCAGTCTCTTCTTTGCCTGCGTATCCCGGACTTCGCAGTAGTTTTGAAATGCTCTTTGGCGTCGCCACCACGTACCATTGGACAGTTGTGCGAAAATTCCAACCATTTCTGATTATTGGCAAAAAAAAAGAGAGGTGACTTCACTGTGGGTACTTTCGGCAATATTTGCTGTGGCACTGTATTATTCCTTCTTTATTGGTGATGGCGCACGTAAAGAAATGTAAATTGGTAGTACTTGGTCATTGGTCTGTGCACAAAGGTTGTTGGGCAGGGGGGCGCAAAGCCAGCCCCCATACATTGACATATCAGGGGGTAGGACACTGTGATGAACCGTCATTCCCCCACCTTGGAGAGGAACCCTGCGCACGCTTATGTATTTGGATGTTAATGCGTGCTACGTTTAGTGCGTAGTTAGCTGCGTTTCCGGCAGGTTCCCGGCATGTATGTATTAACGAGGTTTCCCTAAAACGAGCTTTAAATGCACGCGCATGTGTGTGTGTGCTGCTGTGAACTTCATGCTACAGCTAGCTTGGTGCAATATCCTTCACTATGAACAAAATTCACATAGTGCTGACCAAGGTAAAAAAATATATTCAAAAAATCCGTTACTACCTTATGTCACCACTTCTCTACATAATCCTACTTTTGTTTATTTTTCTGCTTATTTTTTGGGCTTGCTGCTTTTGTATGAATGATTATGTAAGCCGAGGGAACAGTAAATTTTCTCCCTCTGTGTGGATCATGGAAAGTCCGTGTGTGCCCCAAACACATGGGTAGCTGCTCCAAAACAAAAACAGATTTGCCATCTCCAATGGCTGCTCCAAAATTCTGGAAGGCATTCCTACCACTGTATTTGAATTCGATACGAAATTATTCAGTCAACATCGCTATTCGCTTCAAATTTGCTTAGAACCTAAAATTCACTATTCACACAAGCCTACTATTCAGCGCATAAAGGACTGACAGTGCCGTGTCCTGTCTTTTTCCTTCTATTGTTCTTTGTCCTTTCTTGCATTAAAGGCACATTAATAGATAGGGCTGTGCGAACAGCAAAGTTTTGAGTGTGAAGTGAATTCAGATATTTAACTGCAATTGCAAATCGAACCGAATATTTTTCGACTGTTTATCGAATGCTTCTAGAATGTTTTTCTAGAATGTTTTAGAAATGTTTTAGAATTCTAAAATGTTTCTAGAATACGTCAAAGCAAAATTGCAGCAAAAAAAAGTCGGAGAGGATTGCTAAGCATATTCTCATGAATTGGTGTGGTGTTTCATAGTTGTCTTGTCAAGAATGAGGCAATGCAGCGGGCAAATTGTATTTACGTACATGATTTGGTGAAAATAAAGTGTTGCTGACAACACTTCACACGTGACAGGCAATGATGCTATTTCGTTGGCGTCTCCTTCTCTTTCAACGTCTGTGGAAGCCCGACTGATGTGGTGGACAAACACGTGCACCCTTTGAGTCCGAAGTTTCAAATCTGCTTCGTAGACTTCAATATATAAGAGCATCTGAAATTTTGGATGCCAGAAATCTGTGGCGTCTGATGTTTCGGGCTTTCTGGCCAAATTTCGGTTTCGGAACAGCATTAATTGAGCCCCCATCTCTGCCACATCTATCACGTCCACGTTGTTTTCTCGAGTCAATACATTTGCGCCCGTAGCGGAGCCTGAAAGCAGCTTTGCCGCAGTACGAGCATAGTTCGTTAAATTAGTTCGAAAAGTAAAATTCTGGTGCAGGTTGAATTGAATAGTAAACGCTATTAAAAATTTTCGAAATTTTCAATATTCACTTGCCCCTACTTTTTACATGGACCACAATAAAGTTTATATATTTATTTATTTTTTCAAGTGTTTAGGTGTGTTTACGAGCTAAGCCTAGCAAACTGTAAAAGACAACACATTTTACCGCATGTAACCTTCACTCCACTACTATCAAATCCTGCTATGATTTGAATACACCTCGGCATTATTGTATGGTACTAAATATCGTACGCATACACTTTACTTTGAATCAGAAACGCAATATTCATGGAAGCCTAGTCAGGCTTCAAGTTTGATATAGTGACTAGGCCATGTGGTGTTCCACTGTATGTGATGTAAAGTCTTCTTTATTCACTTTAGGCAGTGCCTTGTGTCAGCTTCTTTTATGACATAACAGCTCAGTGAAAAATTGGCTACAGGAGTTTCTTTCTTGGGCTGTGGTTAGGAGTGTAGCTCACGATTAAAACTCATATTTACTTCTCTTGTTTACATTCACTTGTGTCTTTTCTTTCTTTCTCTAGGAGGCGCCTGAGAACCAGAATGCTGAAGATGAGATGTTGGGTCCGGTGACAGAAGACACGGACGCGGAGTACATTGTTCACCTCTTGGACAACGTGCTGCTAAGCAGTGAGCACTGTCTCCATCTGTTTGTGCATTGGTTTGACGCCTTTAATTTACCTGCTATACTTGGTCACCACCTAAGAAAAAATGTCAGCACAGCCCACAGTCACTGCTGTCCCCACAGAGAACTTGTATAAACGACGAACCCTTAACTTTTGACATGAGTACCATACTTACTTTGTTATGAAGTGACCGCAATAGTAGTGCGAGAGATGACTTCATTGCATCCAGGAAAAAAAGTTATTTCGCTATTCGATTGTAAGGCTAAGGTCCACCTTAGGTAGTAAAGGTCTGGATTAAAACTCATTCAATTCGTGTAAATACAATTCGTGGTAGTATTTACATCATGTGAGGAAAAAAATCTGCGAGGTCTGCATGCAGCATGCAGCGCAGTCACAGCGAAAGTCGGAAGAATGGGCTTTCTGGAGTTCGTGAACTCCCTTGGGAGAACTGATACAAGTGGACTTGCAGGGTACCCACTAGACCATAATGCATGGCTAGACCATAATGCACTAGACCATAATGCACTAGACCATAATGCGAACCTTTTTCTGGCTCCGCTGGATCATTACATGATGCCTCCGGAGTGACAAGGCTGGCGTGTGTGAAGCAATTCGTTATCACGGCTGGACTTGTCACAATTCATGCGGCGGCGATCATCTCTAGCGCCATGAACATGTCCACGTCAGTGGGGCGCTTCATCTGTAGATTTAGCCGCAAACACTGAATTAGCCTCTTTCAGTAAGTGCACTTCACGCTGGGAATAACACCCTTATTGAGGGGCTGCAGCACCGAAGTGCAATTTGTGGAAAGAACACCAGGCGCACGTTTCTGAGCTGCACGTCGACGTGATGGGCGCTACAGTTGTGAAGAAGAAGGCAGATCAACCCGTTTGCCTTCCTCATGTCCGCATCGAAGGACTGGAGCCAGCTGCTAAAGATAGCCCTCATCATCCGCGACTTCAAGTTTGTGGTGTAGCTTACTGGCAGCATGTGATTCCCCTTGAAACAGCGAGGCTTCTTGTTCCTGACAATAACGAGCAGTGGCCGTTTATTTGTGCCATCTATGTTGGTGCACAATAAAATCGTCACGCTCCGCTTGCTGTGCTTCCCCCGTGGCACTTCTTGCCTTCAATGTCCAAGGTCTTGGATGGCAGCATTTCATAAAACAGTGCCATTTCATCGGCATTATAGATGTCCGCGGGCTTGTACTGGCCGAGCAGTTCTTTGTTGCTCAGCAGCCACGACAACGTTGTCACCGAGTCGACGGCTGCTGCCTCCCCAAAAATGACTTTGGCCATGATGTCGTCGCGAGCTTTGAAACTGCTCAGCCGGCCGGGACTCACCTTAAAGTTGTTGTGGCTGAGCATGCAAGCGAAGTCCAGTGCCTTCTGTTGCAGGATCCTGCCAGATAAAGGCACCTTGTTGGCATGCTGTTAAAACCACGCGAACACCGTCTTGTCCACGTTCGGGAACGCTGCAGCCATCACAATTTGTTTCTTGCACTCGTGCCGTTTTCAAGTGCACCAAGAATGGAGGCCTTGTTTTTGAGAATCGTGGACAAAGAGCGGCAAGCAACGCCGAATCCTTCGGCAATGTCCTTTTTTTTTTTTTCTGCTTTTGTCCACCTCGCTGATGATTGCAGGCTTAATTCCAGCGTGATGAACTTCCGCTTTTTCGTTGAGGGCAGCATCTTCGCAGGCAGCGAAATCGGATGAAGGAATCAAACTCACAGTTCACGTTGCACCAAGCGACCAAACGAACTCTCCACAAATGGCTCCACACACGCGACCATGTGTGCGCACAATGCCTCCTTAAAAAACCATGCCTGTAACGTCGCTGCTTTTCAACTGGGAGCCTCCTGCCAGCACGCATTCCCGGAGGCCATGACTCCTGCCTTGTGTTGTGACCAACCGCCGAGTGAGACCGCTAGCCTTTGTACCACTCAGTCACGTGACATAACGGCTGCTCGGAGGCAACTGTGAGAGCATTGCTGTGTTCGCAGGGGGCGGCCGTCGGAGACGCTCGCCTTCGTACTGAAGGAGGAGGGTAAAATCAGAGGGTAGGGCTGCGCGTTCGAGGATGACGTTCCTGGCGTAACTTTTTTAGGAGGGGGTGTGCAAAGCGAACAAAGCCAAGCACAGAGCCAAGCCAATGAACGAAACTTCATCAGGAATGTGGATTTGGCTACGTACGTAGTCCGCAATAACAAGCAGGTGTTTCGGCAAGCCTTCATCATTCTCACCAGCTTTACGTTTCTTTTGTAAACAATGATGGCAGCTGCTTCTCAAGTGCGTCTAGCAATAGTTTTGCACACTTTAACTGTAGCATGAATGCATTTCGGGAGTTTTCGAATGTAAAAGTTGCGAGAGTAGATTATTTGCGCACTCGTGTTTCAAAAATTTCGTTAATGAGGGACTGCGGTATGAATATCTTTCGTAGTCGCGAGTTAGGAAATGCATCGACTCCTATGTGCGTTCGCCGGTGCTCTGAAAATATTTCGTTGCGGTGAGAATTTCGTTCCCTCGTGATTTCGTTATCGCTGGTTTCGACTGTACCATACAATTGAGGATTTTTTTTTTTTTCTCGTTTTGCATGATAGCAGTTACGAACACCGGTGAAGGCAGCAGACGATTGTTGTTGTGATCCCATGACTGCTCAGACTGAAAAAGTATTGTCTGTTTTGGTGGAGACCGATTAGAACAACTTTCGTTCACATGTGCAGGGGTGGAAACCTGTGGTTCTGTGGAAGCAGCTGACTTTTTTTTATTTTTTTTCAGGTTGTAATCACGTGCATTCCCACAAACCTAAATTCCAGTCAGTTAAAATGGAAGCATGCAGTATCTAAGCCCCGAAAAAATTTCTAACCCCTGAATTTCGAGGTCGCCAGCTTGGTAGATCCACATTTGAATTCGCAGTCAGACGTGGCAAGTGCGAATGCTCAGTGAAGTGGTTCATAATACTTATTTTATTGAAATATTACTGCTCTTACACTACACGATATAGATGTGTTGAATGATTTTTACATTTTTTTTTCTAAATGTAGGACTTCTCTTTCACACTGCTCCAAAGTTGGTTTTTCGTGATAAAAATTATTTCGTGATAAAGTTTCTAAGCCCCGTCTGTTAGAAAAAAATGTTGTGCCATTCGTAGCATTCTACTATGAAAAGCATAATTTGCAGTCTTTACAATTGTATGAGTTATCAATGCTTCAATGCTTGTTTAGTACACTGGGATGGTTCGTTTTCTTGTTTGCAGATGAAAATACCCTTGGCATTTGGAGCGAGCTTGTGGTGCATGTTGTCACTGAGCAGGACACATACACGGACGAAGGTTTACGCAGAGTCTCTTCCCTTGCGCTGGCTAAACTGATGACAATCAAGTGAGTACTGACCAGGCTCTTCGTTTTTTTTTTTTTTGTATAATTATGAATAGGCGATGCTTTCATTCACGTTGAAAGCATGTGTAGCCCCCCTCCCTCCCCCTCGTAAAACAGAGGGGGGGGGGGGGGGATTTTTCATGACTTGTTCTATTTAGTGCAGAGCGCCACGTGATCCACCTTCGTTGCAGTACACTGATACTCTGCGGAAAAGTGCATTTTGATTTTGAAGGGTCTATTAGCATTAATCCGGACACAGCACATTTGTTCACTACTCCATAATTGGGATACTAGTCATTCTTTAGAGCAGATGTATGACATTTTGGCACCCTAAAAACTGTGAGCACCAGCATGATCTTTACATTTTTTTTTCTAAATGTAGGACTTCTCTTTCATACTGCTCCAAAGTTGGTTTTTCGTGATAAAGTTTCTAAGCCCCGTCTGTTAGAAAAAAATGTTGTGCCATCCGTAGGATTCTACTATGAAAAGCATAATTTGCAGTCTTTACAATTGTATGAGTTATCAATGCTTCAATGCTTGTTTAGTACACTGGGATAGTTCGTTTTCTTGTTTGCAGATGAAAATACCCTTGGCATTTGGAGCAAGCTTGTGGTGCATGTTGTCACTGAGCAAGACACATACACGGACGAAGGTTTACGCAGAGTCTCTTCCCTTGCGCTGGCTAAACTGATGACAATCAAGTGAGTACTGACCAGGCTCTTCGTTTTTTTTTTTTGTTGTATAATTATGAATAGGCGATGCTTTCATTCACGTTGAAAGCATGTGTAGCCCCCCTCCCTCCCCCCTCGTAAGAAAGAGAGGGGGGGGGGGGGGGCGTTTTCCATGACTTGTTCTATTTAGTGCAGAGCGCCACGTGATCCACCTTCGTTGCAGTACACTGATACTCTGCGGAAAAGTGCATTTTGATTTTGAAGGGTCTATTAGCATTAATCACGGGACACAGCACATTTTGTTCAACTACTCACATAATTGGGAGTACTAGCAATTCTTTAGAGCAGTGTATGACATTTTTGGCACCCTAACTGTGAGCCAGTTTTCTTTCTTTCTTTCTCTCTCTCTTTTTTTTTTTTGTGTCATTCCTACAAACTTTTAAATTTTGAAGTCGCCAGCTTGGTAGATCCACACTTGAGTTCGCAGTCAGACGCGGCAAGTGCAAATGCTCAGTGAAGTGGTTCATAATACTTATTTTATTGAAATGATACTGCTCTTACTTACACTGCATGATATAGATGTGTTGAATGATTTTTATTTCTTTTTTCTAAATGTAAGACTTCTTTTTCATACTGCTCCAAAGTTGGTTTTTCGTGATAAAAAAAATAATGTTTTGATCCCCATAACGTGCTACAAATTTGGATTTTTGTGCTCCAAAAGTAACATTTTGCTGCTCCGAAAATTGCTCCGAATTCTGTTTTGGCTGTTGCACCCCTGCTCCTTGCCGACTGCGACTAAACAGTTCTGGGGCATTATAACCTCGCAATATCATACACACCTGCACACATTCATTACTGCATTGCTGCTTGCAAATATGGGGCTATGTTTGCCGAAGAGAAGGAATTGATATTCTCAGTCATTCGCATTTGGAATACGATCACGTTAATTTTTCAAGATCACGCGTGGCTTGTCCTGTCTGTGAAGGAAGCTGCCACCCCGCTAACTGCTTAATTAACTAGCACAGCTCTGTGCAGTACACCTAACAGTTGTCATACAGCACGATATGTGGGATCTGGTGGAAGTGTTGAGCGCCCCTTAAAATGACAACTGCTCGCGGCTGTCGTGTACTACGTCACACACGCGCGCTAGCTCGTTTGCACTCTGTCGTAAATTGAGACATGCAGTGGTACTATGTTCGCCGTCACTCGTGATTGCACCGTCTAGCACGGCAGAACTTCAGAGATAACCGCAGGTGTAATGGCAACCGATGGTAAAGTTCCCAAAGAGTGCCCACATTATGATCCGTCGAATCCTCACAAAAATGGCGGTGAGCGTGTCTTTTTTTTGTGTGTGTGTGTGTCTGATAGCTAGAAACCTTCTGCCCCTTAGCGCTTTATGAGAGCCCTTTTTTGTGCATCTGAATGAGAGGTTCTGACTGCAGCACGTCTCGTACAACCGCAGTTTCTGGCAGTGCTGAACATAGCTGCCAAATAATCGTATTTCCCGGGAATATATTAAGCAGTATATAATAAACACAGCTCTATAGAGTAAGTTTTAGTTTTCGCAACTGTATGTGTGGGAACCGCGAAATCGTATTAAGTTGGAACAGATCAACATTGTTCTGCATGTGTTGTCTAACCCTCACTTACCATCATAACTTTACAGTGCTCAGTTTTGCGAGCGGCACTTGGCCCTGATTTTTGACATCATGGAGAACTCGCCAGATCCCGTGATGCGCACCAACCTGATCGTGGCTGTGGGCGACCTTATGGTCCGCTTTCCTAATCTGCTCTACACCTGGACTGAGAAGGTCTACGCTCGGTACGTTGCTTACCGTTCACTGGTGCCGCTTTTCCCACTTTTATCGTCTTGGGACTACACTCAGAGCTCAACATAACAAAGCCAGATATAACGAAATATTGGTTATAACGGAGTAAATTAAAAACAGTCTTGCAAAAAAATAGATACAGTCGATTCTGGATATATTGAACTTGAAGGGGATCGCGAAACAGTTCTATATATCGATAATTCAAAATACAAAATATGCGTATTTAAGGCCTAAATAAAAGCATTTCAGGCCTCTAAAATCATTACAAGTGCTAACATAACGATTTGCTCACAGTTTAATGAAGAACAAGGCGTGAAGTGCAAGTTATCGCACTTTATTATGAATGAAAAAAGTCCATAAACTTGTCTTTGTGCATCGTCAAGTTGCAGTCATCTTCAATATCATTGAAGCTTTTCAAATAAGCGAATTCGGTTCCTTCGGCCACAACAGCGTTGATTAACGCAGAACGCCAATGCAAGCCTTGTAGCATGGCAAAAGGTTGGTTAGTGGCGGCAGCGAAAGCTTGGCATATTCATATCCGCACGGGTACACCTGTGCGGCACCGCCAACTGCAGCCTTGATTTCAGCAACGATGCAATCTGAAACAGCTACATCGTCACCTGCAATGATGAAGTAGCTCAGTGTCCGAGATGGTGCCCGCAAACGCTGATAAGTCGCAGAATTCACCGAGTCATCGTCGCAGAATTCACCGAGTCATCGTACGTTGTTGTCCGCAATCATGACGCACCTGAAGTCGTTACCTGGCCTGCTAGGAAAGTTTACCACGGTGCTTTACTAGAAGTCGCTCCTAGTGTTAGTCATAATTTTTGTCTGGGTCAACCTTATGTTCAACTCCCGAATGAGGACTTATGAGGAACGAGGCGGGAAGTACACAAGTCGACAAGCTGCATAAGACGACGAGAAATGACAGAATTCTCACAGCCGACCTGTTGCCAATATCGATGTCACTTGTGCTTGGCAGCTAGTGCTTATGTGAAAAGCTAGACAAAGCATAGCCTCCGAGACATGTGTTTTAAAACCGAGAACACTAAAACTATGTCACGAAGATTTCAAAGGCTATGCTTTTCAGGCTCGCATGCCATTATGCGCTTGCAAATAAGGGAGTTCGAACATTGCAGCGAGATCGTCGAGTCACTTTGCATTCTCATTCCGGTGTGCTCGGCAATAGGGTCTTTCTGAAAAACGCTATGCCCATGCGTTACGACCTGCAGATCGCGGAGCAACCATATCGGTGCACTCGTAAGCACTGGGCAACGAATTTGATCAGTGCGATGGAATAACACCACCTTTTTGTCACCTGTGTGCGAAAAGGATCGGAGCTTGTCAAAGTGCGGCCAAAAGTTGACCAATATTTGCTAGGAAAAGTGCACTTTGTGGGATTTGGCGTGAGGTTTTATATAGCCGATGTCCTGCTGTGCGGGTGTTCAAGACATATGGGGGCACCGGTCCTATACTTTTGCATGGGAAATTCAAGGGGATTGCTCAACTGTTCGATATAGGCAATAACTCGATACGTCCGAGTTTGATATATTTGGGGTCGACTGTATAGTGTTGAGAATATACCTTTATAACGAATTTTTGGTTATAGATAACTTATCTCGTGTAAGATGCAACCTTCTTATAGTAAGGTTGAGTGTATTGATTTTTTTCTGAGAGGAGAGCATGAAGCAGTCACTTTCTTGTTCTTTGTATCTCAGTAGTGAAAGGCCAGTGGGGATGAAATGTGCAGATTCTCATGCACCATGGTTTCATCAACATAGTAATATTAACTGAAAATCTTTACTGTGACATCCTTCATAGATTATCATGTTATTTGTCACACTCAACAGAATGTGGTCACCAGAGCCGCAATTTGATTAGTGCAGGAGACAGGGAAGAGAAACAAATCTCTGTCATGGATTGATGTTGACCGATTCGGTCAACATTAATCCAGAGTGTTGCGCTGCGCCATCCTTTGTTGATCATTCCACGATTTAGGGACTTCACAGTTTGACCTTCTATGCTGAATTTATTTGCGAGGAAGAATGCATTTCTGTATGAGCTCGAACTAAAACAGAGTTTTAACATATTTTTTCTTTTTTTTTCTTCGAATAAACAGGTTGCAAGATCAATCGCGGGATGTCAAGATGGGAACATTGAAGACGATCACCTTCCTTATCTTGAACGACATGATCAAGGTCAAAGGTCAGATCAGTGACATTGCCATCATGGTCATGGACGAAGATGAAGAACTTGCAGACATGTGTCGGAACTTCTTCTTTGAACTCGGAAGCAAGGTTTGTTGTACTCGTGTGATTTTTGTGTCAATCGGAAAGAACTAACCATATTTGCACCTTTTGAATGTGTTGACTGCCCTTATTTCATTTCACCAGTAAGATTTTTCCGGTAATATGCTTCGAAAGCGTAGGTAATTTACTATAGAAATGTCAGTGGGAAAGTTTGCAGAACTCTAAAAGGCTGCTTTCCGAAGCCAGTTTGAGAACCTCTGTTCTATATACACAGTCTGTAATGGTTGGCATTGAGCGGACTATCTTAGCAGATCTCAAGTACAGTTCACAGCAATAGAGAATATTCATTGCATTGGAGCCCTCCCAACAGTTTTAACCAAGTCAACAGATCGTCCTGTCACGTTTCAGTAATTGAATTCTTATGCTTTTGCATTATACAATAGTTTGCATATTGAACGATTGGGCATTAGCTGTATTGAGTTGGAAGAAAGATAGAATAGAATATACTGTGAAAGTAAGCAATCGAAACAAGAGGTTTCCTTCAATTCTCCCCCCCCCCCCCCTTTCTTTTTTAAATCCATACAGTATGGCTAAGGTGCAGCTTTTTGATGAAGTTCATTTTTCATTTTAGAATTGCATTTGTGCAGCCTTTGCTCGGAAAAACTACATTCCTGTGTGCACCTTATTTATGCCACCAGTACTTCACTATGATACACATCGTTTATGCAGTACATACCAGGCATTTTCTATATTGCAGTGAAGCCCACACCTAATGCTTTTACGTGTGAAAAGAGCCTAGTTTATGGTTGCTTTCTAACCATTGGCATTGTACTTTCTTCCTTTCTGATTTTGCATAGCCTTTCTGATTTGTACAGCTATAAGAATTGGCTTTGAAGAGTTCCACGTTTACTTTTTTACTGCTACAAACGATCCCAAACAGCATCCTTTCTGTTCCGAAACATTTTTTGTCCTACATTGAAAAACTTTCCATATCCTTGGTTGGCTGGATAACTATTGATAAAATACTTATATACAGTAGACTCTCATTAAATGGAACATGAAGGAACCAGGAAAATATGTTTCGTATAACAGGAAGCATTGTTTACGGATAGATGACCAGGGCTGCAGAATACAAGAAGGAGACCTAGTCTCTTCTTGTTCTACACTTAAGGAGGGCAGACTGGTCTTTGACATTTTTTGTTTATTTCTTCAGTGATCTTGATCAAACTGCACAGGGTTATGCAGTTTTTTCTGGCCGATTTCAAATATTTAATTATATTTCCTGCAACTCACCTTGTTTCTCAGGAAACTTAAGTTACCCCTATTGTTTAAGGCTGCCATAGAAAAAAAAGTGCTTAATTAAAAGTGATATTTAAGATATGCCAACATAGACTAATGACTATAGAGGGAAAGTATGGAAGAGTTTTTTTTTTGTTTTTAGGCCTTTATTGGTTATTTTAAAGCAAAATTAACTATCCATTTTCAAAATCAGTTAGAATTGTGTTGCAATTTTGATTAGTAATAATTAAAAAGGCTTGTACTCTAACTCCTGCTTCCATACTTGCATTCTACACACATACAGGTTTTCACTGCAAAAAGAATTATTGTTGCATCTGCCCTAGCTGCAGAGATATTGAGGCCTCAAAATTGAATAGTCGTTAATTTAATTTTTTGAGAAAATGAAAAAAAAAATTGAAAACACACAGTTTCTTCAAAAAGCCACAATCACAGGTGTGCAGTGTTTTGCAATCCTTATAAAGGCTGCTGATAGATTGGTAGTAGAGCTTTTAGACACAGGTGCTGGCATTATATAAAGAATCCTCAAAGCCGGTTCCCCATTTTTTCGCAGGTTCTGCATGTTAACAGCACCAAGAATCTGGACAGTTAGAATGACATTACAAAAAGTTACTACTTCCTGGTGTGCGAAAATTTGCAGAGATAGAAAAATACTTGCAGAAACCAAATATGTCAATTTAAAAAATGAATTTTTTGTCACTTTTTGGTCTCAATTGATTGATTTCTGGGGTTTAACGTCCCAAAACCACCCTATGATTATGAGAGACGCCGTAGTGGAGGGCTCCGGAAATTTCGACCACCTGGGGTTCTTTAACGTGCACCCAAACATAAGCACACGGGCCTACAACATTTTCGCCTCCATCGGAAATGCAGCCGCCGCAGCCGGGAATCGATCCCGCGACCTGCGGGTCAGCAGCCGAGTACCTTAGCCACTAGACCACTACAACGGGGCACTTTTTGGTCCCAAAGACAAGTCTGCCCCCTTAAGCAGTGGTTCTGTTTAACAGATTTTCGTTTACTGAGAGCCTACTGTAGACGAATAGCTTTCATGATCAACTATAAAGCTCGACTGCTAACCGAAATGTCGCGGGATCGAATCTGGCTGCGGCGGCTATATTTTCAATGGAGGCAAAATTGTTGAGGTTCATGTACTTAAATTTAGGTACACGTTATAAGACCCCAAGGGGTCGAAACTTCCCGAGCGCTCCACTACGGCGTCTATTATAATCCTATTGTGGTTTTGTGACATTAATCTTCAAATATTATTATTATTATTATTATTATTATTATTATTATTTTTGTAAGCTTGCATGAGCTATGCAAGGAATAATAGGCTTGGCTATCCTTTCAAAGTGAAGAGCAGGTGAAGAGAAGATTGTGAAATGAGAATAAGTGGAGCGGTATGTTCCCGCTTTTCACTTTCTTTCTCGGCTCAATTGTTAGTGTTGTATTTCTTGTAGTTTAAAGCATTTCTGCTGTTTCAGCTGACATGTCTCACATGTTCTTATATATTCCAGGGAAATGCCCTGTACAACCTGCTGCCTGACATCATCAGCCATCTTTCGGACGAAGAACATGGCGTAGACGAAAAGAATTTCCGCATTGTGATGAAGTAAGTGCCTTAATTTTTGTGGTGTACACGTATCCCGAAGGAGTACGGCCACCAGCGTGGGTCCGGTCTTAGCGAGCCGCAGGGCACGCGTTAACCGTCGCCGTGGCGGGAAACACGATACTGCTCAAGTCGCAACACTTTATTGTGGCAACGCCAAACGCAGTACAGCCCGTTGCAAATAGGCGCGGCGGGAAAGCAAGTAGGCTTATCCACGCCACGGGCACAAAGTACTACAGAGGGGTGCCACGAGCACGTCTCCGCGGTAAAGCTGATCCACGGAGACACCGGAGCAAAGGCCCGGTTGCTCGAGCGAGGGCAAAGGCGCTCGCGTTGGCTTCGAAGGGAGACGGGTCGGCGTAGCGAGGCCACGCACTAGGACACCGTACCGCCCTTCGGCCGTGCGTACGCAGCGGGGCAAACAGCGGGTGAGCGTTGTGAGAATTGAGGCTGGCCCGCTGCCTTTGCGCGGGCTTTCCCGCCTTTTCTGCCATTCTCATGTCCCGACATGTCTGCCCTCCTTTGCCGTCAGCCGCGCTGGGAAGGGCGGAGTGACGTTTAACTCCCTCACCCGGTAGCGGATGTTGACTGTGGCGCCGCGCGCGGGGAGCCTCCCGAGAGGTTTTCGCGCGCTGCGTCGGGAGCGGTGAGTACAGTCCGGGACTTCAAACGGTGAGCCACGCATTCTTTTCCGTCCGTCGAGTCCCGTCGCTCGGGGCTCGTCGGACTTCGCTGACGGCGCCTCGCGCCCGATGCGAACGCTCACCTTTTGTTGCCCCGCTGCGTGCTCACGGCCGAAGGGCAGTACGGTGTCCTAGTGCGTGGCCTAGCTACGCCGACCCGGCTCCCTTCGAAGCCAACGCGAGCGCCTTTGCCCTCGCTCGAGCAACCGGGCCCCTTTGTCCCGGTGTCTCCGTGGATTACCTTTACCGCGGAGACGTGCTCGTGGCACCCCTGTGTAGTACTTTGTGCCCGTGGCGTGGATAAGCCTACTTGCTTTCCCGCCGCACCTTTTTGCAACGGGTTGTACTGCGTTGGTGTTGCCACAATAAAGTGTTGCGACTTGAGCAGTATCGTGTTTCCCGCCACGGCGACAGTTGACGCGTGCCCTGCGGCTCGCTAAGACCGGACCCACGCTGGTGGCCGTACTCCTTCGGGATACGTGTACACCACACTGGCGCCCAACGCGGTATCAAAAGCTCTAGCTTTTGTCTGCGCTTAGCGAGTCAGTTCGCCTGCGCGATTCGGGCTCGTCGCAACATGGCTGCTTCGCGGGACTTTTGTCCGCTGTCCCTTTTAGCGGATGCCGCGTTGCACACGGAGGCCATTGCCTCTATTGACGGGAACCCTTCTGCACCCGTCCGTGTCGGCACCCCCTATTGCGGTGACAACACGAGGCGCCTAGCCGCTCCCTTTGGAGATGGCGCGTCGCTTCGGAATGGGCCTCTTGCCCTACCCGAACGTTATGTCTGCTTCGTGGCATGCCGCGTTGCACCAAGAGGCCACCGCCTCTATCGACGGGCGCGCTTCGGCGCTCGCCTGTGTCGTCACCCCTTTTTGTGGTGAATACACTCCTACGTGGTAGCTGACGCGCTATCTCGTGCCCCCTGTTGTCTGCCGAGAACCTGGATTTCGGTGCGATGGCCGCTCGCGGTGCCTTAGCACATAAAAGCGTCGGGGGCGAAACAGCAGCTTCGCGGCCATTCGGCGAGAAGGGTGAGTCCCCATGCGGACAAACCTTGGCTGCTAACCAGGTAAGCGGCGCACCGCAAAGCGGCCGAGCGGGGGAGCTTTCCGAAGGCCACGAGGCCGAGAGCGAACCCGTAACGCCGACTCACGCGGCGGTTGCTGCGGTCCTGAGTGGGCGCGATACCAGACTCCCCCATTTGGGAGAATGGGAATTGCTTTCGGCAGCGAAGAGCTACTGAAGGCTCAGCAGAGGGATCCGTTTCGAGTCTCGGAGGGACGGAGCGCCGTATACGCTGCTTGCTTTGCGGCGGGCGCCGTTAAACCGTCTTGACGAGGCGCGGAGCGCCGTTACGCTGCTTGTTCTGCGGCGGGCGCGATTAGGGGGCTGATACAGCGTGTGTCGCTGAGTCCCCGGCGGATTCATTTTTGCTGGACCATGACGGGCTCCTGCTGAACTATATAGCCACTGACGACGAGTCCAGCGACCCGTTTAAGGTGGTTATGCCCAAAAGTCTGAGAGCCGCACTGTTGCGATCCTCTCACGACGAATCCATGGCCGGTCACCTGAGTGGCTCGAAAGTTTTTGCAAACTGAGCGATGTTGTGACCTGGCCCGGCACGAAGCGTGGCTTTTATCGCTATTCCGTGCCTGCCACGTCTGACAAACGGGTGAGCCAAGGGTTGGAAAGCCGCCCGGTCTTATGAACCGATTGTCAGTGAGCGTCCGTGGCGCGTACTAGCTGAAAGATTCCCTTTGGGAAAACTCAGCCGTGCCCACATCGCAGACCTGAAGCCCTTTGTCACGGTCTGACGAGCTCGCGCCAGTGCCCTGCGGCACTTCGCGCAAGCAACGGGCACACCCGGAGCGACGGACCGCATTCGGACCCCGCGCCGGTATAATCTGAGGAAGCGGTCACCTTTGTGATTTCGCGCCGGACGGCGGACTTCTCCGCAACCGAAGGCCCTCAGTTTACTGTCTAGCCTCAGTATATGTTAGCTTCTTTACGGCCTTTTCTCGTAAAGGAGTTGACCCCACCCTGTCTGCTGCCAGTGTTTTTTTTTTTGAAGTGTTCATGTGTATTTTATGTTTATTTTTGTGTAATATTAAGTGTTATTTGTGTTTTATGTTTTTCGCCAGATGTTGAGTGTCGTTTTGCTCTGTTTTCACTTTTTTTTCCGTGTTCGTTTCGTCTACCGCGAAGGGAGCTGTGTGTGACCTTCAGTGTCGGTGCTTGCCGGGAGAGAGAGACGAAGGACGCTTTGCGCCTACGCTCGCGCAGCTGTCGGCGGTGTGTGTGCGTGCGTGTGTAAGTACGTGACGCTTCAGTGCGAGCCCGCGAAGAGTGCGTCATAGCTGCCCTCCATCGACGCGGACACTGGAGGGGCTGGGGGGTCATTGACCCACTGACGTCAGACAATCTGGCTGTGCTCTGCTCTTGGCCGTCGCCGAAGAAGCCGTGCTGCCTTTTCCACCATGGCTCCTGCGCGAGGCCAGCTGAAAGCAGCTATATGCTGCCGGCCAACGCCAGGGCGCCTCGCAGCCAATTTTGGTTCGGCCTCCCTGACCACCGGAGAGGCCCGGCTTCCCGCAACGTCCAGCTTCGTCATCGAGCCGGAAATGCGGGGCCTCCGAACAACCGAAGCGGTTTTCGTCGGACTCGCGGCTTATCAAGAGCAGGAACAAGCCATCAGTCAGCCCCCCTTCCGGTACCTCTGACCTCGCACTCGGGCATCGCACCCAGCGGACACTGTCACGCCTTTCCGCCCCTCCGCGCAGTGGACGCTATCCCCCTTAAGCACCACGAACACCAGTGCCACGTTTCTGTCCCCCATTCCGCAGTTATTTGTATAGTGTCATGTGTTTACTTTGTTATTTATGTTTTGTTTCTCATTTGTGATCTTTTTTTAGCAGCAGTAACAGGGCCGGACTGAGGTTAGCTGTAGCTCATAGCAGTGTCATTTTAACTGCATGGGTGACGTCCGGCTGCCTTTTGCAGACCGGTAAAGGGCAAATTTAGGAGGGGGGGATGTGGGAATTGAGGCTGGCCCGCTGCCTTTGCGCGGGCTTTCCCGCCTTTTCTGCCATTCTCATGTCCCGACATGTCTGCCCTCCTTTGCCGTCAGCCGCGCTGGGAAGGGCGGAGTGACGTTTAACTCCCTCACCCAGTAGCGGATGTTGACTGTGGCGCCGCGCGCGGGGAGCCTCCCGAGAGGTTTTCGCGCGCTGCGTCGGGAGCGGTGAGTACAGTCCGGGACTTCAAACGGTGAGCCACGCATTCTTTTCCGTCCGTCGAGTCCCGTCGCTCGGGGCTCGTCGGACTTCGCCGACGGCGCCTCGCGCCCGAGGCGAACGCTCACCTTTTGTTGCCCCGCTGCGTACTCACGGCTGAAGGGCAGTACGGTGTCCTAGTGCGTGGCCTAGCTACGCCGACCCGTCTCCCTTCGAAGCCAACGCGAGCGCCTTTGCCCTCGCTCGAGCAACCGGGCCCCTTTGTCCCGGTGTCTCCGTGGATTACCTTTACCGCGGAGACGTGCTCGTGGCACCCTGTGTAGTACTTTGTGCCCGTGGCGTGGATTAGCCTACTTGCTTTCCCGCCGCGCCTTTTTGCAACGGGCTGTACTGCGTTTGGTGTTGCCACAATAAAGTGTTGCGACTTGAGCAGTATCGTGTTTCCCGCCACGGCGACGGTTAACGCGTGCCCTGCGGCTCGCTAAGACCGGACCCACGCTGGTGGCCGTTCTCCTTCGGGATACGTGTACACCACAGCGTTCGCCTTGGGCGCGAGGCGCCGTCAGCGAAGTCCGACGAGCCCCCGACTGACGGGAGTCGATGGACGAAAAGATAGCGTGGCTCACCGTTTGCTGTCCCGGAGAGTATCTGACCGCTCCCGACGCAGCGCGCGAAAACCTCTCTTGGGAGTCCCCGCGCGCGGCGCCACCGTCAACATCCGCTACCGGGTGAGGGAGTTAAACGTCACTCCGCTCTCTCAGCGCGGCAGACAGCAAAGGAGGGCAGACATGTCGGGACATGAGAACGGCAGAAAAGGCAGCAAAGCCCGCGCAAAGGCAGCGGGCTAGCCTCAATTCCCACATCCCCCTCTCCTAAATTTGCCCTTTACCGGTCCGCAAAAGGCAGCCGGACGTCACCCATGCAGTTAAAATGACACTGCTATGAGCGACAGCTAACCTCAGTCCAGCCCTGTTACTGCTGCTAAAAAAAAAGATCACAAATGAGAAACAAAACATAAATAACAAAGTAAACACATGACACTATACAAATAACTGCGGAAGGGAGCACAGCAACGTGGCACTAGT